AATATAAAGAAGTAGGAGTCCTAGAAAGAAACTAACTGGTGCTACTTTTATAGGCCTTCCTCCAGATCACCTATGTTGAGCCTTACTTTGACACCTATGAGCTGAAGGAAAGGATCACCTATTTTGACAAGAACTACAACCTTCGCACCTTCATGTACTGCACTCCCTTCACCCTGGATGGCCGGGCACATGGCGACCTGCACGAGCAGTACAAGCGCAAAACCATCCTGACGACGTCTCACGCCTTCCCCTATATAAAGACAAGAGTCAACGTCATCCACAAGGAGGAGGTAGTTTTCCACAGAAATATCATGTGCGTTTGAATGCAATAGTTGTTTCTTAACCATTTTTTTCTGTTTGTTGGTTGGCTCTCCAGATTATCCTGGTTCCCATGGAGGTGGCGATTGAAGACATGCAGAAGAAGACGCAAGAGCTTGCCTTTGCTACAAATCAAGACCCTGCAGACCCTAAGATGCTTCAAATGGTGCTGCAGGGCTGTGTGGGAACCACTGTCAACCAGGTGCTGGATTTAAACAAAAGCCTTATAATGTTTGAAATGTCAAAGTCAACCTCCCTCTGAAGTATTAAGCCCCTTTAAATCCAGCCTGAAGTCTGGTTCAGACATTCCTCAGTCAATATGTAACAGTTCCTCCCCCTCACAGGGTCCCCTTGAGGTGGCGCAGGTCTTTCTCTCCGACATCCCACAGGACCCAAAGCTGTTTCGCCATCACAACAAACTGCGGCTTTGCTTTAAGGACTTCACCAAGAGGTGATGACACGCTCCACACCTCAGGCTCAGACCGCTGTGTAACCTAGAAAAATAAATCCCTACTGTCTGCTTCTCCTCTGCTATTTGTGATGCAGGTGTGAGGACGCCCTGAAGAAGAATAAGGCCCTGATTGGGCCAGACCAGAGAGAATACCACCGAGAGCTGGAGCGAAACTACCACAAACTAAAAGAAGCGTTGGGTCCCCTCATCACCCGCAAGATCCCCCAGCTGTACAGACCACTGCCGGTTCAGACCCTCCAAACACAACGGTAATCTGAGACATTAACAGATGTCGGGGCTCCCAGAATGAGCTCATGCAACTGTAACAATGGAGCAACATGAAACCAAATCTCATCACAATTATATCTTTACACTTTCAAAAGTGTTCATACTGCCTTAGCTTTCAATATTGTTTCTTTAGAATAGGAAACTTTAATTTATTAGACAACTGCAAAGCAATCGATGTTGTGAAGTTGGGAGTAAATGTTAAGGTAGATTTTTTATTTATCTTTTTATGTTTTAAAAAAATTTAAAAAGTAACAAATTTGCATTTAGACCCCTTTAGTCCAATTCCCTCTTAAGTCTGTTGAAGAAATAAATCCAGCTGTTTGTTTAAGGCCTCAGAGGTTTGTTTGAGAAGGTTAAACAATCTTCCAGCTTGTAATTTGAGATGTTTCACCATTTTAGCCAAGACTGAAAGAAATGTTAGCAAAAGGGCTTCACTGCTTAAGCAACATAATAACCTGCTATTTTACATGTGCAGTCCTTGAATAATTTCGAATTTAGAGAGCTTTAGAGAGCTTCATGTTCCTTTGAATGAACTGGAGCTCATTCAGGCCCATTTTTATACCCTTTTTTTCTTGTGGCAGTACTCATGAGAGTTAATGTGTGTATGCATGTTAATCCGGATGTAGCGTTAGCAGCTTGCCATGGTTACTTTACCATAGTTTCCTGGTCTCTTACACGATATGTAAAAATTTCCAAGCAGCGAAACCTGCAGGTGAGTCCCTCATTGTTTGAATCAGCACTTTTTGTTGAAATAGAAATAGGCGTGATAAAAGCAATGCAGGCTAATGCTAGAACCTCTCCACAGTTGTTATTAAGGAGGATAAGCAGAATCATGCTCTGTGAAGTGCACCCTCTTTTGGGCTTTTATGGTTTAAACTAAAAAAACAAAAAAAAAACACTACCATACTCTGGATTTTCCAGCAGGTTTTAAGTGAAGCCATATTCAGGTTTTAACATAAAAAAGTCAGATTTCCATGTGACTATTCCTTTAAGTACAGGTAATTAAAAATAAAAACGTTTCATCTGTTCCAAAAAAAAAAAAAAAAAAGACAATTTGAATAACAATCCACTGGACTTTGTTTCCAAGTTTGAAGATGTTTCGCTTCCCATCCAAGAAGCTTTTTCAATTCAAAAATTCAAAATTCAAAACTTTTTGAATTGAAAAATTGAAAAGCGAAACGTCTTCAAAATTTATTGTTTTTTAATTTTCTTTTTTGGGAATGACTATGATCTAGATGACTGAGAATCTTGACCAGCATGTTTCATCCTTGTAATATTTTTTTTTGTTTTCACTTCACAAACATGCACTCTTGTTTCGTTCATATAACATTCTAACAATAACTAAATATTTGGTGGTTTTAACAATTTAATATGTAAAAGCATTCGTGAGTGTTAAAATACAGCTGCCCATAAATGTTATGCACATATTTTAAGAACAAATTTAAGTCCAATTGAGTCAGGCATATTTGGTGTAAAACATAAGTGATTTTTTTGAAAATTAAAAATTGGGACCATAATGACCTGCTTTTCCCCTGCAGACTGTTATTTATAAATGTCCCCCAATTTTTTTCCTGCTATAATAAAACTTTGAACTTTGTTGCCTCTCTTGCAGGAACTCCTACAGCAGGTCGAGTTTCCGCAAAATCGACGGTTAACATGTGGAAAACTTGATAACAACGCAAAGCAACAAGCTGTAGAAAATGGCAGCATCTCCTTCCATCTGTCCCTTCTCCCCCCGCTGCATTGCCCACCAACTGTCACCCCCTCAGACAAACACACACCCTATCGGCCTCATTATTTTATCCCCATACATATGCCCTGCCTCCCAGGCGTGCCTTGACCTCCCCCAAATCTAACACCACCACAGCTACCACACACACGGATAAATGGTCACCTCTTCTCTCCACTGTAAAGTCTCTCCCAAGTCTCACACCACTTTAGGAAAAAATCTCAGCTGTTTATACTTGGAGGTTATCTACTTAGTAAACATTGCCATTTGGTGTGAGGCTTTTCAAGAGGCCTGGGTTTAAAGAAAGCTGTCCAAGTTAATCTACCAAACCCAAAGTAATCTCTTTGAGCTCATTTGGCTGCAGCTTTTTCACCAAACTAAAGAGACCAAACATTGTTTTTGTGAATTGTTAATGGTTTATCTGCTTTGCTTTGAAGATGCTAAAAGTTGCCTGTTTTTTGTCAGGCCTTTTTTTTTTTATTTAAGAGGTTATGCTAAACCAGCCCTGGTAGTAGTCACTGCCAAAGTTTTAAACAAAAAGGTCACCTTACTGTGAGTTTTTTTTTTTTTTTTTTTTGTTATTGTAAATGGACCAAATAACTGGCATTCCTTCTTCCTCCAGCTGTCACATTTATCAGCTCATCTCTGTTAGAATTTAATTTAGAGAGCTGCTGGGCTCATTTGGAGCAAGCTCAGGTCTCATTTCTTGTAAGAAGCCTGAACAGGATGTGGAAATATTATTATTATTATTTTTTTTTTTTACTGTGAATCCTTTAGTGCAGCAGTTAATAACTGTTTCTTTCACAGAAACTTTGCCTTTAGTGGGGCCATCTCCTTTATCTACACAAATATGTTGTTCAACTGTTGCATCTTTTGACACTTTGCATTACTGATAAGTGAATAAGCTCTACCTGTGTGGGCGAGCCCTCTTCTGACTGTGGGATCTACTGTTAGAAAGCACTCTGTTTTTGTATTATTTTACCACTGCTTGTTAAAGACTTTTTTTTTTTGTAGACATTTATTACTACTGTTTCTTAAAAATTGCACTATTGTAAACAAACATTGGCACATAAACTGTAACAGCCAAACAATCTGTGCTTTTATTTACTACTGCTTTTTTACCAGTTAGTTTTGTATTTATTTAGCTTGTATTCCATTAAATATTTCTTCCTTTTCAGCTGACCAGCATGTCTTTTTTGGGGGGGTTGGGTTTTGCGCTAATTGGACTAACAAATGTTTTTAGTTATTATTACCTTAATGTTACCTTTTTACTTTTTGGTCTCTGATGATTGTGGACCTAGCAGCTTAGGAACCATATTGGGGGGTCAGGTCTTGCTCACTGCATCCAGAGCCATAAAACTAGCAAACCTTGGGAGCTATTTGGTTTTGAGTACTAATCTTTCGTAGACATTTTGTTTTAATTTTCTAAGTTAAGTACAGATGGTAATGATTCAAGTTGACAGATTTTGTTTTCTTCTGTAAATGATATTAAATTATACTGTTTGTTTTCATAACATGGAGTGAGCAAGCACAAATTCTATAGACTAGGGAAAACCATTATTTTAAAAATAAAATAAAATGGCCCCATGTTGTATAGAGCTCCGGACAGTTTCAGGTGGGAGTGGGTCTCACACTGCCCACGTTACCCGCTTGAATTAAACTTTGTAACTCAAAGTTTATTTATTTTTAAAATGGTGTCCTGTTGCATTTTTATAAAAAAAAAAAAAAATGAGCTGAGCCCAGAAAACAAAAGAAACTCTTAAATCTTAAAATTATTAAAATGCAATGGCGGTTTATAAGAATATTATTAACAAATCCACTGTTATTTGCAGTTTTTCATTGTCTCTTAACACAAGCAGTTTTTTTTGTTTGTTTGTTCTGAGAGCTTTAAGGCTAGCTGGGCTATAACATTTGAAATGTTTTTAGAATGCTGCAGGAGTTTAAACTGTCAACATTAAGTGAAAGGTGAGATTTTTCTTCAGTTTGGTCAATAATTTCTAATTAAGTGTTGCTTTTTTCTGCATTTTTATCTAATTTAAAGACAGAATTTGGGATTTTATAAGGACCACTGACAGATCTTAAAGCTTTTGCATGTGCTTTTATTGTTTTATTTCATTTCTCCTTGATGCTCATTGAGTTCCTGAGCCTATCAGATGATAATACTCTGAGCACATGTAAAGTGCGTTAGGAAGCGGGCTACAGGGAGCGGAGCCTGAGGGCTGCTGGCCCTTTAAGAGGCGCAGCAGGGAGGGGGGGTCGGAGCATCTTGGCTGCGGTGTTTTTGTCTCCCGTCAGTGAGCGCTCCTGGGCCGAGAAGGTTGAAAGGATTTCTAGAGAGGGACCAGGTAAGAACTGCAAACAAGTTGAATTCCCCCTCATTAGACCACAGCTTTACATTTATTTTTCTTAAACGTCCAGACGGCGCGCCTCTAGGAGACTTTCTTTGTGAAACGTCGGGTCTGCCCATTCTGTCGGTCCTTTCTCTGGAGTAACGGGATCTTAACGCACTGAAGCTCCTCTAAATGCAATCTTTTTCTTTGTTTTCTTTTTATTAATGGAATTTCTCTATGTTCTCAATTATTTTATCTATCCGATTTAGTCGCTACCTTCAGAGGAATGTGAAAGGGAGTCCCTAAATCCTTTGCCCTGTTTTTTTTTGTGTTTATTTTGAGCATCATTATACGCGCTCCAAATGATGCCAAAAAATCTTATTCATATAATATGATTAAATATATCTGGGTTTAAAGGATGTTATGTAATGAATTTATGTATTTATGTTGAGTTAATCTTAATCTTTTCGCAGGATATCTGTTTTATTCGTTTTTTTATGTTTTATTTCTACATCAGCCTAAATGAATCTGGTTGGATATTTTAAAAGGTTTACCCCACAGCCCACTGGAAAAGCTAGATAAAAAAGCAACTCCTGTCTGTGTGCAATTATTCGAGCTCAGAACTTTTTTTTTCTTTCAACATAGAGTTAAAAATAAAAAACAGGATTATAAAACTGATCCCTTGCATAAAGGGTGTTGCATGATTTCAAAATGTTTAATTTCATTAGTAGATTGAAAAAGTCAATTGAGCCTAGAAGTACTCTGGGGAGAGGGTGGGTCCCAGGCATCCCGCGACTTCTCATTACTTCCAGATGTTTTTTATGTTGTTCCTTTTTTTTTCTCTTCTCACTTTTTGCTCTCAGATTTGGAGACTATTGGGTTTATGGATCAAGCAGGACAGGTGGAGTAAAGTAACTCAAGTTGTTTGCATTTATTCTAAAGTAGTTCTGATATTTTAGAATAAAGCAAACTTTAGTGAGTCAACATGCCAATTAACTGGTATCAGTTTGACAGGCATAATTAATCATTTCCTAAGGAAATGATTCTCTAAAAACCTACATGTTGCGGTTGATTTATTGGCCTCTATGTCGTCAGGGTAGAAACTAGATAGCATTTTGTCCAGATTAGTCAGTTCAGATGTTGTTATTAAGGAGGACTTGAAGATTTTGGCAGGATGTGTGGGTGTACTCATCGGCCTGTTCATCACAGTACTCCACTGTACCGCTGTTGTATAATGACTTACTGGCTGTATGTAATCATATCACAGAGAATAGTTTGTGACAGCTGCATGGCGCTGGGACTGAGCCACTGACTGCACTTTGGGCCTGTCACATGGAACGAGAAGTTGTTTAGATCTCTAATAGTGCCTCAACGCATTAAATAAATGACATTCTGTTTTGTAGTGAAGCCTGAAAAGTTCCTTTCTTTAAAGCGTGGAAAAGTTTTCCCTTTCTGACTTTTTCAAGTTATACATTTTGAGGATGCTTTAGGTGGACCCGTCCACAGCCGGAGTTCCCCTTGCCAAGTTTTACAGCTCTCAGGCCGAGGGATGCTGTGGTGGAATGCAGAGCTGTAAACTCCATTTGCACACCAGGCCACATGCCGGGCATTTAAACGCCTTGGTGAGACTAATGAAATCACACCTACTGGCTTGGTTCGTCAATGTCTTGTCCTCTGGCTTTATTATAAACATCTTGCTTTTTAACTGGATTTTTAACTTGCTGATTTTTTTTCTATTGTGACTCATAGCGCTAAAAAATATCCCTAAATCCTCAATCGTACCTATCTGAATTTAAACTTTCCTCTAAATGAAGCAGAAGCACAAGTTAGAGTAGTAAATAACTTAACCTTCTCTTTATTTCAGTTAATAATTGATAGTATTCAAAAGACGTTTGCTTCTCACTCCAAGATTGAAATAGCACACAGACATATGTTGCATTCATCTGGTGCACTGTTTTCCAAGTTGACTGTTATTGCCTAACTTTTATGACTGATAGATGGGGTGATTTTTGTAAGAGCTGGATTAGTTTCTAAGCTAAAGGATAAGCATATGGTTCAGTATTACTACAGTAATGCCGGGCTCCAGCAGAAAGGGCAGCAAAGATAATTCTCCGACATAGCGATTGATTAATGATGGCAGCGAAAGAGATGCTCATAGTGAACATATGGTCGAAGTCTTGCTTCAAGATCCTGGAAAGAGTAATTCATTATCTTCCTAAATAATCTGACTGATCTCATCTAATACCTTGATGACTCAGGAAAGCCAGCTGGAATTCTCTGACCGGTAAATGGCTTAGACATGTTGGAATAATCACTATGGCAGATGTTTTGTTGTCCTTATTTTTTGTTGAACATTTTCATCAACACTTCTTGTCCAATCAGGAAGTAATTGATAAGAAACCACTTTACCACACCACAGAGGGTTTACCCCTTCTGTCTGTGCTACAGACAAACACTGACATGATCTTTTAACCCCAACTCTGCTCTGACCGCCTCTCCACCTCGTCTTATTGCCGCCTGGAATTTGTCGTTCTCCACCTACTGACATTTCAATTTTTCCCCAAACACTGGCCCACAATTTTCTTCACTGCCTCAGCATCAGACTCACCCTCCACCCCAGCCGCCCGCCTGAACTACTTACTTGGGAATCTTCTCCAAGGAAGTTTTGTTTGTGTGTGTATCTTTTTTCCGGTGCAGCTCCTTGCTGTTCTGCCCCACCCTTGCTTAGTTTCCTGTTGGAGGTCAGCACAATGACCAATAAGCTAGACTGGCGGGTATTTACTCTGCTCCCGTTCCAGGAGTAATGTGAGCCGACCGGCCCCTCCTTTGGCTTCGCTGTGCATCCACCACCAGACGGCTTCAACCCAGTTACTGTCTGCTCCTCTGCACAACCAATGTTTAATGTGGAAAACAGGCCTTCATAATTTTTTCTAAATTCATACCCCTTTGGGTCAGGATTCCACTGTCCTAGATTTAAGGGCTGCCATAGAGAGCATGTCCCTCCAAAAGGAGTGGAACACACTGTATTTCCACCATAATATGAGATCATCTGACTTCAGCGCAGTTTGGCTAAGGCGCTTTGTGTCAGGCAGTGACGTACTCAGTTTAGCCACTTTTTTTATTCAGCGACAGGGATTTGTTACAATTTGTTTCTGATTGTTAAAACTCTTAGGACAAATCACTCAAGCTAAGTTTTATGTGTCGTCTTTATTTAGCTTTCAAAACAAAGTCTTGTGAGCATCTAAGATGAATGGCTTTGTGGTTTGCTAGACTGCGGAAAAGCTGCTTTTTTTGTTGCATTGTGTTGCAGTCTATTTTTGGTGGGTGGAACATGCAAATGATAACATTCTTCTAGCTGTAACCTTTAAAAAACAATAAGAACACTATTTACTGTTTATTTGGGGTCATTTGAGTCTTTTTTATGTTATATCTAAATCAAATGCAGCAGAGGTTCAGCTTAGGCTCATTCTGGAGGGGAATCTGTATTTTACTCTCTTTTTTTTAAAAAGTTTATACATTTTATACCTTCAGACTCCTAATTTCCCCCTTTTTGTCCTCACTTTAAGCATATTTCTCCCTCTCTTGCTTTTTTCCTTTGCTCACTTTTGCTCTCCTTCTTGTTACTCTTTCTCTGGAGCTGGGAGGAAGTGACTGGGTTGTTTTTGTGTCCTTGGGGAAAACAGATGAAAATCCCCTTCCTGTAACCCTTTTCTTCCTCAGATCTCAACCCATTATCTCTTTTGCAACATAAATTAGCCTGATATTATGACAGCCTGATAAGAGATTTTGCCTTTCTCGTAAGTTTTCTGAGGTAATTAATGAAAAATGTTTTTGTTTCTCTGCAGCCTGTTGCAGATGTTTTCTCAGGAAATTAAAAGCTGATAAATCATTTAGTTTTCATGTAATTAATGCTCCATACCTGAATAAATCAACGTAATGGCTACAGCTGTGTTGGTATATCTGTGGGAGTCTTCAGGCATCAGACAGCGCTGACGTGTTGGGGGATCTGTGTGTTTTCAGGGGAGGCGTGGGAGTTTCGTCAGTCTCCTCTGTAACAGTTGGGATAATTTTCTTATTCCACTGAGGTTTTTTTGTGTTTTTTTTTTTCTTTGTGTTCTTTGTACATGACTAAATTAGAGCCTGACATCGGTCCCCTTAGTGCACGTTTCTTTTTTTTTTCTTTTTTTCCACTTACTTTCAGCATGTGGGTTTTTGTAGCAGCACTTTGCTGACTGTTTGTTTGTTTTGAGGCAAATTTCCTCGCCGCACACTCCTGCACATACAGTTTCTCTCAGCCGCTCTGTCTCTAAGATGCCCCTCCTTGCTTTCTATTAGAACCAGCTGTGGACCTAGCGGCCGAATGAATGGCTCTTTGTGATTTGGCTGTCGTTCCGGGTCTGAAACGATCCGTTTCTCCCTTCGCCCTCCCTCTCAATGTTACTGGCATGACAGCACTGTTAAACAATGGACTGAACAACCAAGAGCCCTGTTATGATTTTATGCAAAGGTCACCCTTTGGTAATTCTCAGGCCCGTCAGACAAAATGTCGACACTGCTTTGCACAAGCCCATATCTTAGCTGAGAATCCACGCACAAAGTCATGTATGTGATCCACTGAAATCTAATGTAGTGGTTGAGTGTCCATAAAGGGAATGCATTAAAAGCCTTATGAAATCAGTCTGGATTGCATAGGTGATGACTGTTCCCACCAAACTCGGAGGGTGTGTGTCTGTGCTGTGGGATTTGAGAGTGTTAGTCACAAGAAAACAGCACACATTGCCCAATCACATGGGAAGGCAACTCCCGCACATGGCCTTGAATTGATTAGAGTACCCAGAGCTAAAGTGCGGAGCAGGGTGGGGGGAGAGGAGCGCTTAAAAACAGATCACAAGATCTGAGCAGCTCATTGTATGTATGGGGGTGTACTCTTTGCATCCGAGTTGTCAGACAAACCACTGGAATGCTTCAGGATGCTCTTTTTTTTTTTTTTTACTGCATGTTCCTAAAGTGTTGTGGTGTGTTTGTGTTGTTTTGTAACTTGCTGTAAATCTGTTTTTTGTCTGTGTCACAGGAGCTGCACACCTTAAAATTGGGCTTTTCTTATGTTTTCTGATGACTAAGTCAAGATATTACCCATCATGCTTTTTGGTTTTTCAGTCTTAGACTGCTACGGTTACAAATACACATAGAAAGTTCAGGTTTCCTTTGTTCATACTGTATTTCCCGCAGGTGTTGACTGTTAACGGGAAAGAGAAGGGAAGAAGAGCGAGGAGCCTGGGGAGGAGAGATCCCATCCTCACAGCGCAAGCAGCTGGTATGGAACAGAAAATAAAACCCTTTTTCCTGAGTCAAAACGCATTTCTAAAGGCCCCTTAGCAAAAAAGCCACCACAATAAAACCAGAGAGTAGGTATTCCATGGAAAACGCCTCTGTCCCCAGTCCAGATGCATTTCTTTTATAGCATTACCACTTTTTAATCTTTTGCTTTGACAATAATACTTATACAATGAACCCATGTGTCTGTTAAACACAGAAGAGCTGACTTCAAAATGTAGCCTGGTATGTTAAATGAGTCCTGAGGGTGGTCTCAGTCCTCTGACACACCAAAGAGACAAGAATGTTTATGCATGCTGTAAATCAAAGCCAGTCTTCAAATTCCCAGAAGGGATGCAAAAGTTGAGTTGGAAGAAAAAAAAACAACAAAACTTTAAGCTTAAAAAAGCTTACACTAGAGATTGATAAAGTTGCAGCATGATGCAGTTGTCTCGTGACATTGTACAGGACATACCAATTACCATGTAATTTGTGCTGGATGACCTGCATCTTAGCCCCCAGGGGCAAGCTTAATCTTAATAGCAGGGAATGGAGGGAGTAGACCAGGCAGGGTGAGCTTCCTTTGGTATGGATTTAATGGGGGGTGGATTGGTGATGGGCAGGGAGAGGCGTCTGAAGACTGCTAGATATTTAAGGACAGAAACGGAAAGAAGGTCAGTAGTACTACATTGCTTATGGGAATAAGTGCACACATCGAGACGCATCCAAAGCACCCCCATTCACCACTTATGTAAAAACAGATGTGGGGGGCCTCGCGTTGTGGTTGTTTTGGGAGGATGATTTGGGAGGAATAGCTTCCAGAAAAGTAAAAAGGAGAAGGGACATTTTAGGGAAAAAATGGGAGGGCAAAAATGTTTTTGAATCTGAAAAAATTTAGCGGACGTCAGCCTTTGTGTCTGGATGGGATGTTTAGTGGCTAAACTGCCGGCTCTAATTATATCTCATCAGCTTTTCCCCTTCTGTCCTCCACCCTCCTGCCCACAAACTCTCACACTCTGTCACAGTCACTGTGTCGCTTTCTCACACATTTGGCCATATTGACACCACACTACAAGCACAACACATAATCAGTTCCACACTTAGGCAGGAGATAAACAGACTTAAAATAAAGGCCAAAGGTAGGGAGCCATACGTTTCCTTTTTTGTCATCATATGACTTAAGATCACCATAGACACTCAAAGTTTGTATAATGTTTATGTAAGGCTGAGCAATTATTTATATCTAAGATCAAACATTGGCCTTTAAGCAACTTTTAAGGGAACAGCCTTTACAAAACCTTTTTTATTTCATATTGCTCAAAATTTTAGTGCACACATTGATTATTTATTCTCTTGCTATTAAAAACAGAATATTTAGAGCCATCCCGACTTCCTTCAATATAAAATATTAGCTTCAACATGTATAGAAATGTTATCCATAACATTTTTCTAATAATATCTTTATTTTATTAAGCAGACTTCTGCAAAAAATGTAAACTAACAGTCTGCATTTAAGTTTATTTTTGGACTTAAATGCAGAAATAACATTATGTTCTCTTTTATGGATAATATCAATTTAAAATTAATAGCGGCTGTGTTTAATCTAAAATTTACATAAACTAGATGGGAAAATCAGTTATTTCTTATCCTAACTGTGAATGAACTATATGCAGCCTTTCTGTTAGAATCATATATATTTTTTTTTAGCAAAGGAGTAGTAAGAGAGAGAACAGTCTGTTCACCAGGAGTTTTCCTCTTTATTCAAAGCAAAGACATGATTACATTTCGCATTCTTTGTTGGTTTTAGTATCTTACACTAATACGTTCCCAGTTTGATTAGCACTGTTAGCATAAATAATAGCTGACATCAATCTGTTTTGGGGTTTAACATTAGAAGACCTTTACTGTGATATTCCCATGATAATAAAATGTTATAATGCAGCATGTTTTGCAGCTGGGCTTTTTATAAAATGGTCAACTTGGCTACTTGCTGTTATACCTCATGATTCATCATATCTTGTGAGTTCTCTTTTAACCCTGCTTGGATGTTTCTAGAATGAACAATTGATATTGCTTTTATTCTGCTCTTTATTAATTAACACAGATTCAGGGTTAATTAGCTTGATTGCCTGCTTAAATACAGCAAACAGCTGGGTGGCATTTGCACCTAGAACAGTGGTTTTAAAACATCATGACCTAAGAAGAGTACTAACTGAAGCTGCTTTAGTTTCCAGGCCATGTTTTATTTCTTACCAGATATGTTTTCCTTCTTAAAAGCAGATGGAAAGTTTAGGGTCATTTTTATTTGAGCAGCTGACCAGAAGTGCACCACAAGAGTGAATACCTCACTACTCTGTGCTACAGATTACTTGTGACTTTAGCACATTTTCTGACATCCCACTCATTTTTTTTTGTATAGCTTTTAAAATGTATTTTTTAAAACCCAAATATACCTTAGCCCATGTACATCTAGGGGATTTGTAAAATCCCTTAAAAGAAAAAAAAAAGAAAAGGAGAAAAAAAAAGGATAATTCTTGATGGACTTTCCAGCTCTTACACGGTCTGATTAGGAGTGTGTGAATGTATACTGTCACACCTCCACACTATGCTGTCATTTCCAGTATGTACAGGTGATGAAAGACCACAGATAAGAAGAATCACACAGTGAAATTTAACTGAACACAGCACTTTAAAAATACCAAGTCTGTTCAGTCAGTGTTTCCAAGTGGCCTACTTTTTACAAACGAGCAAGCACCAGTTATGGTCACAAGGCAGACAAAGGGAGGGAAGAGGAAAAGAGAAACAATCCTTTGCTGAATCAAACTGAGAGCGCCTTAAGAAATAAAGCAGAGTTTGTCCTGTTTCAGCCAAAACTTTTGATCTTGGCTTCTTAGAGCCTCAGCAATAAATTGATGTCCAACTTTGCTGCTGACTTAAACGCAGCCGTTCCCATAAAGTGATGACCTAGAAAGTTAATCTTTTCCAAGAAGACACAATCTCTAAATGACTGGCATGAAGGGGGCTCTGTGTTGTCACTGCCTGCAAGTTAGAGGCAAAACACAAGTAAATTAGTTTTAACTAATCAAATGCATCACTTTTAAAATAACAGCTATGTTTTTGAACGTTAAAGGAGTAGTAGAGAAAGCAACAATTATTCCCCTCTATGAACTCCAGATCATTAGATGATGCTTAGAAAGAGAAACATTAAAGAGCTAATGTGGAATATAAAAAAGAAGAGGGAGGCTGAGAAGTAGCAGAGACTGCGAGACAAACCTTAAATTGAGAGACAAGGGTGGTGTGTGCAGATGATTCCTAATAAGGCTGTAACTGGCAAATCTCGGTGCTGGATTCAGCTGCCAGGAAACTTTCCCCCTGTAACTCCTCTCAGGCTACTAAGAACAGAAGCAAATACACAATCGGCTGTATTTGAAAGACTGAAAGAATAAAATTAGAAGCTGAGGAAGCAGTACGTAGTAAAAGAAACTATAGTGTGTGGTGAGCAGCTCAGTTCTTGTAAACAGTACTTTTAAGGATTTACTTTTAACTTTTTCTCGCTAACATGCAAAATAAAAACTCAGTAAGCTCATTGTTAATTCAAAACTGTCTGTCATTTTACAGGTGAGAGTTTGTGTGACTGAAAAGCAGCTGCTGGTTCATCATGGCTCAAGTGCTGCACATGGACCCCGGTTTCCCAGGTTCGGTTTCATCTATGATATACTAATAGTACCAATAAAGATTGGATATATGCTATGACAATAAGTCTCTATAAGAAGAAAATTGCAAAAGATGCTAAATAAATAATTTCAATATACAATTTTGGATTACATAATTAAATAAAGTTGTTTTTTCAATATGATTATTCATAAGGCGAGTTTATCACCTCATCTTTCTTTGAGCCACAAACATCACTTGGCATTAGTATATGTAGCATTTATAGCTAATGAAAAGATGATTCCCATTTGTCTGAATAAGAACCTGGTGACTGATTTATCTGTTAGTTGGTGAACTACAATAAGTTTTACATTTTAGAGGTAGATGTAAGAAAGAAAATAAGATGTGCATGTAAAATAAGTTATTTTAACTAATGAATTCATTTTTACTTTTAGAGTTTATTTAATTTCCATGCTATTTATTTTACATATATTTCTTACGATTCCCTTGCTTTATGCTTTTGGAGGGTTAACACTGAAGATACAATCATAACAGAAATGTTTTAGTGAAGTAATCATTGTGCCAGCAATTGTTTAGAAAATATAGGAAAAAAATAATACATTTTACAGATGAAGGTACCATGAATTCATATTGGGATTTAGTTATAATTTGTAGTTGTGTATTACATCATCACTCAGCCAATTGTCCCTTTTTTATTTTTAGCTTTATTATTAATTTGCACATGTCTGTTAGAGCTGAAATAATGAATCCAATTAATCGTGATTAATCGGTTAAGGAAATAATCGTCAACTAATTAATCTAATGGATTAATCATTAACTGGAGTATAGAGACTCTAAAGCATGTCATTAGCTGACAGAGCGACCCACTTAGAGCAGTTATTATACCAAAATTGTAAAAAAAAATAAGGTTGTTTTCCCCTCATTTTATTTTCTGTAAGAAATCATCTTTAAGGAAATTTTGCAATCTGATTATAAATCTAGAAAATAATGAATAGATTAATCAATTAGCAAAATGATCTTTAGTTGTAACCCAAATTTATGGTCTTCCTAGAATGATTTAAAATTGTTTTGTCTAAAGGTTTTAGACTTACATCTCCTAAAACTCTTTGTGCTTTATTGATGTATTTGCTGGTCCAACTATAACTTCATGAAAGAAATTCTCCTTAAAAGTATTTTTTTCAATATGTTCATTAGTTACTCAGGACTGATTAGACTTAACCACCACTGGCCATTTTGTATCCAATTAGGCAGACTTTACAGAGTAAAAACACTAATACACAAGATTCCTCAGAGTATTTTTTTTTAAGTCTGAGCCCAAGATTAGACAAATATTTCAATTTGTTTTATATTGACTTCTTTTCCCTGCAGGGAAACTGAACTCGCCTGCTCCTCCAACACTGCACACCAAAGAACAGGAGGCGCCCTACTCAGTGGAGACCCCCTATGGCTACCGTCTGGACCTGGACTTCCTCAAATATGTTAACGACATAGAAAAGGGGAACACTATTAAAAAGGTGCCTATACAACGCCGGCCACGGTATGGCTCCCTGCCTCGGGGCTATGGCTACGCCGGCTCCTGGTGGACCTCCACAGAGTCTCTGTGCTCCAATGCAAGCGTGGAGAGCAGGCATTCCTCTTATTCTTATTGTGCCCCAGGCTACCACACATCACAGAGACCCAGCTTTAGTACAGCTCGGGTCGAGAAGACCCTTTTAGATGCTCGCAGGAAGTTGGAGGAGGAGAAAGAAGGAAGGAGATTCTCAAACCTTGGCAGCATGAACAACAGTGTTGCAGGCTCCAACACCTCACTCAGCAGTGCACACAGCTTCAACCGGGCACATGGTGGGGGTGGAGCCTATACCCCTATGAGCTCCGGCCTGTCAACACCAGTGACTCCGACCCCTGCACATTTACAACATGTCAGAGAGCAGATGGCTGCAGCCCTCAGGAAGATAAAGGAGCTGGAGGAGCAGGTGAAAACCATCCCTGTACTCCAAGTTAAAATTTCTGTTCTGCAGGAGGAGAAAAGGCAACTTAGCGTCCAGCTGAAAAGCCAAAAGTTCCTCGGACACACCCTGGGTTTTAGCAGAGGTCGACAACGTGGGGAGCTGTACATCGACATTCCTGAGGAGGAGGTTGGCACAGGAGCTAAAAGCCCCAACATGACAGCAGAGCCATTGTCTCCCACTGAAGTCTCTAAGCAGGATTCAGGCTGTGAAATTGAGGACACAGTGATTGTGGGTGGAGCACGACCAGGTGCTAAGCGAGAAGTTCGCACCATCGGAGTTGGACCAGAGGGATCAAGAGGCAGTCGTGATGTGGGGGTCTGGGTTCAGGAGAAAGATCTGGGACTTCTCCCTGAGGCAGAGGTGCTCAAAGATCAAGTAGGTCAGCTTGAGGGCAAGCTAAAGAGGACTCTGCAGGAGCTCCAGGCTGCACAGCTGCAAAAAGCCCCTAAGGCCGAGCATCCGGTTATGGCAACCAGCATGGGGTGGCAGGAACCGCAAGGCAGCAGTCTGCACACTCTGGTCAGCTTCACACAGCAGCCACAACAGAGGGAACAGAGAACTGTGGGGATCCAGGTGTACACATTGGAAAAGCCTACTGTGGTGGAGGTGGGCACGCTGCTTCGAGCAGAGACCTGCAGCTCTCCCTCACCTCAACCAGCCACTGGAGTTGCAGAGGGTCACCACAAAGGAGCAAATGAAGGTCTGTATAATTAGACCGAAAGACTGAGAGCTTTTCAATCAAAGCAGTTACACTGATACTTCAGATCCAGTATTCAGCATCTGTTTGTTTTCTTTAGCCTTAAAAAGGCAGCTAAAGTCCAGCAATATGGTGTTACCTTAACATCTACTCTTTGCTGTTTTAAGGGCTTTAAGCTTTTACAATTAGGCCCTGTGGCGAGTTTTATAGAGACCAACCAGACCTGGTGTGGAGCCCACTATGTTAGAAAATTAGAGCTGCGTTTAGTCTGCAAAATCCAACACAGAACCACTGAAAAACATAAACTTGCTGTCTTCCATTTTACCGCCTGCCAAATGTAGACAGTGCTCAGTCTGCTGCTCAATTCTAAACTGCATTTACAGCTTTCATTTCTTTAATTTACGACTCTGTTTATAAATGTGTAGTCTTTTCATATTGTCATCTGACATTCATCAATTTGTTTACAATGATTCCTTTAGCATGACTGATCATAAATACTGGTAAGAAGTTGGAAAAAAAATCCATGAGCATAGTGTTTGTTATTTAAGTGACAATCCTGTTAAAATGCATAACCAGGCAAATCTTGGGATTTGTTTAACCTGCTCCATTTATTACACTTGCCCAGATGGTACAGGAAGCATCACAGGGAGGGTGAGAAAGAGAAATATTTAAAGAGACGTAATGATGTGGATCTTAAATGGTTAAAAGCACTTAAATAATAAAAAGAACTAAACTTACTTTGGTTCAAATGCTGCTTTATTTACCAGTTTCTGTTCCTTAATCAACCATTTATTTATACAGAATGTGCAGAGTCTTGCAATCAATTTCCACAAAAAAAAACAACCCCCCCCCTACTAAAACTAAAACTGATGGTACAGATTCAAATGAAATGCTTTAAAATGCATTGCATCCCATTTCTTCCTTGCAATCCTTTACTCATTTAAGTTCTTCCCATGTCTCAAAAGCTCCCGTCGAGTTACCGATTGCAGTCAGCTTCAAGCAGGTTCGTGATGTCCTGAAAAGTGGGCTGTCCACCTCTGTACCTGTCAGTAATCCTGCCATCGTCATAGCGTCTAGAGATCAGATTGGTTTGGTGCAAACCCAAGAAGAGTCTCACGAGGGCTTTTCTAAAGCAGGTATGTGGATTGATGTAATATAACTGTGCTTTAAAAACATCATGATGTCATTTAACATTTGATTGATGGCGTCTTTTTTTAGCCTCATCTCCCCAGTCCTCTCTGAGATCAATTATGAAGCGGAAAGCAGAAGGTGAACCAGGCTCCCCCTCTACAAAGAAAAACCTGCAGTTCATTGGAGTCAATGGAGGGTAAGTGGCTATTATAGAGGAGCCATTTTTATCCACTGAGCACTGTGATCATTAGAGGCAAAGAACTGCTGTAAGTGCACAAAAAAGAAGAAATGAATTCTGAGAAATGAAGCTAAGGAAATCTTTTTAATACTTACCATGAACTGATTTAGAAAAAACTTTCAAGGAATAAAAGGTATCATTGTCTTCCAGCTATGAGTCCACCTCGTCAGATGATAGCAGCAGTGAGAGCTCAGATGATGGGAGTGACTCCAGTGAATATCATGAAGCCAGAGAAAAATTTCCAGAGTCCAACAGCCAGCACCAGCACATACTCATTAATAAGACTTCCAAGTTCCGAGAAGAAAGCACCAGTGTACCTCAACAAACTGCCATAACAACACCAGCTATAACCCACTTGCAGCAGAGCTCCAGCCAGTCTGCAGCAATGGATACAAAACTGTCAGATAAAGCTCCCCAGTCGCCAGCAACTGACTCTGTGGAGCAAAAATGTGCCTCCCAAACTTCAACGACAAACTCCACCTCAACTTCTCCAGCCATGCATTCTGCCTCCACTGTGGACAAGTTAACAGAGAAGCACACCGTCACCTTGGAGATCGCTTCCACAGCACCTAACGGGGGATCTGCAACAAACACCACTAAGTGTTCTTCAACATGTGTCACCAAATCTCCAGAGGTCAACTCTCAGTCGGAAACATCTACCACCTCCTGTCAGTCAGAGTCCAAAGCAGCAGCTGAGAGTATTAAACAGGACTCTTCTAAACCAGTCAGGTAAATGTGGACATTGTTTAAGGACAGTCTGTCAGCAAAGAGTCAGTCTGATTGTTCCATTTTGTCTCTGCAGGCTGGAGCTGAGTGAAAGTCTGATGTCGGCTCTGTATACTCTACAGAAAGCCCTTGGGGAGCCCAATGCTTTCAGCCAACAATCAGCAGTATGTCTCCAAACTAATTCAGTCATTAAGCATTTCTAAGAAACTCATGAAATTAGTGCATTTTCTGTCTTGCAACAACAGGATCACATACTTTGTCAATTATCCTAGAGTTTTTGCAGCATTCATATCTCTTACGACAAACTTCACTGTGTTTTAGTAGGGGTTTTACTGTGATAGGGTAACTGAAAGTAGTGCATAATTGTTAATTATTTAATATGAAACGTAAAGTCTTTCTTACAGTTCGAATATAAATATTTGCATTCATTCTCTCTGAGTCCATGTTTAGTAGATGAGTCTTTTGTATTTGCATATCTGTAAACAGACTTCTTTGCTCCTGTTTTGTGAAAAAGCTCAGTCAGAATGGAGGCAGAGCTGCTATGAACATGATCTAAATCTTTTCAAAGATTCTCAGATCAAATTAGTTCTGATATATATATATATATATATATATATATATATATATATATATATATATATATATATATATATATATATATATATATATATATATATATATGCTTAGATCTAGGCCTTTGTATTTTAGCTGTGACTATACAATTATTTTTGCTGGAAAATCGAAGTTCTAATCTTAATTATTTTGCAGCCTTTAGCAGTTAGGATTCCATTGCATTTATCTTGATAAATCTAGTCATGAACCCCTTCTAACTTTGCAGTCAGGGCTTAGGGATAGCTTTCCCCCAGCATGGTTGTGTCACCAGCCCATGTCGCCATGTGGGTGATTTGCTCCTGTACGATGTCAGTTTGCTGTATAGTAGGTCAAAGACATCAAATTTGGTCTATAAATCAAGAAAAGCTTTTCCCACAGGTTTGTCTGCTACAAGGTTTGTGGTAAAACGAAAATTTTACTTTTAAAAGTTTTTAAAGTATTACCTTTTACTGTAGTTAAATGTCCATGAAGGCCAGATTAGTGTAATCCCTGATTAACAGTTGTCCTCTTAACATATTGTCCAACATAATCTGTGGATCTCTGTAGCCCCTACACAGTCATTGATGACACAGTCATGCCTTTGTATTTGTGCGGCAGTCTGTTGATTGTTTGTTTTCCTAAAGCGTCCTCATTGTGTCTGATCACAGCGGACAGCCTACACCACCGTCCTACAGGAGTGGCTACGTGTGTCCTGTCACAAAGCAGCCAACACAGCGGTTGTCAAGGCCTACATGGACACATTTAACTCCATCTCCCCTCAGCTGCTGGAATTTGTAATCAACATGGCAGACGGCAATGGGAATACGGCGCTCCACTACACTGTCTCTCACTCCAACTTTCCTGTGGTGAAGCTCCTGCTGGACACAGGTGAGAGTGGAGAATTTTGTAATCACTCACTGACAGTTTGTTAAAGGGGGTGATATGGCTTTATGTGAGCCTTTATTGAGGCAGAAGCATACAAAGAGTTATTAACTACTTCATATTGGCATGAAAAATGTGTGGTAGGGGAGAAATATGAAACAGTGTGAACTTTGGTTTTAGAATTTCCCAGTTTGTGAAAGTATCAAAACAGAAAAAGCAGACTTGGGACACATATTTGTTCTTTCAGACCTTTATTCCCTGTGCTTAAAAGCTGTGTCCTTTATTCCTAGTGGCATCTGATCTACTTTTGCTTTGCCACTCCTTTTTTCCCTTCCTTTATTCCTTACTTTCTTTCATGTGTTCTTCAATCCTTCCTTAAATCCTTTCTCCCTTGCCTGTATTTTCCTTTCTTGGTAGTGTCTTAATATTTTTGCCTTTAATTGAGTCCTCTAACTTTGTGCTCCTTCCATACTCCCTTCCAACTGTCCTACTTTTCTTCTGCTTCCCTTTTCTCTGTCTGTTCTCCTTTTTTATTTTCTCTGTGTTTCCTGGTGATCTTCCTTACTCCCTTTATGTTTTTCCTTCCTTTTTTCTTGTTTCTTTTTAGAGTAGCTAATTATTTCCCTTTTTCCCCTCTATTTTATTTTCATTACTTGTTTCATTACTTAATTTTTTTTCTGTGTACTTCTTTTTTACTCTGTGTTTTTAAAGGCCCTTACTTCCCTCTTCCTGTGATCTTTGGTGTTCTTCCTCCATGTCTTTTGTTCTTCCTTTCTGACTTTCTATCTCACTTTTCCCCCCCTCTATTGTACTATATATTGTTTTGTGTGAATCTCTCTTTTTTTAATCATTTCCATACATTCAAAACATATTTTTACTTTAAAATGGGTTTGCTCTACTGACGAAAATAGTAGTATGAGACTGGGCAAAGCTGAAAAAAAGCCTGGATAAGAGAACAATAGTAGTAGAAACTATTATTCCATGGTTTTGACATGCTATTATGAATATGACATGTGATGTATGTTGCATCTCATTAATTAGCCTTCTGCCTGTCATTGAATCTTTTTCTGCTGCTGCTCCTGAATCACCTGCCTCACTGATTGCCCTCTCTACCTGACAGGTCTGTGCAATGCTGACAAGCAGAACAAGGCAGGCTACACAGCCATCATGTTGACGGCTTTGGCTGCTTTTCACTCAGACAGTGACCTCCAGACTGTCCTGCAGCTGCTGCGCACAGGGGACGTCAACGCCAAAGCCAGCCAGGTGCGCCCTCTGCTGCTCCTTATATTTTACTACACCTCAGTGCTTTAAAAACTAATTTTTTTTAAAAATTCATTTTTATTACCAATACCAGATAAAGAAGTGCTGACTTAGTTTTAGTGTTGGTGTCCTCATGTGTTTGCAGGCTGGGCAGACGGCACTGATGCTCGCAGTGAGTCATGGACGAGGGGACATGGTTCGGGCGCTGCTGTCTTGTGGAGCTCAGGTCAACATCAGAGATGATGATGGCTCCACTGCACTCATGTGTGCCTGTGAGCACGGTCATGTGGACATTGTTCGTCAGCTACTCTCTGTCCCAGGCTGTGATGCAACTCTCACTGATAATGTAAGCCTATCTAGTCTACCCACCGCTGTTCTAAATTTTCCTCTTGACCCCCCCGTCTAACTTGCTGTTGTCATGCAGGATGGCAGCACTGCTCTGTCCATCGCCCTGGAGGCCAGTCAGAACGACATTGCTGTACTTCTCTATGCTCACCTTAACTTTGCAAAGCCTCCATCACCTGTGAGTACTGAGTTAGACTGTTTAAAGCTGCTTTGAATACCACATTGGCGAACTAATATATTATCTAATGGTCCCAAAATAACCTGAATGTCAAAATTAAAGAGTTTTAAGAGAAACGTCCCTTTGCTATAGAGGAAATTGTAAATAAAATAAAAGAAAACATGAGCAAAACATATCAGCTGGAAAAGGTTCCCCATGAGGGCTCTGATTGATAGGAGGTGGTTGGATTTAAGACTTGTGAAAAGAGAATCACAGAAAACTGTGCATTCAGTGTTACTTTCTTTTTCCAGAAGTGAATTTCAGATTAAAGTTTTTATTATGTCCAAAAAGGGGATCTTACTCCAGGTCAGCACCCCATGCATCTTCAATGCCACCCCGGCCAGCTGGTGGGGTATGCAACCATAAGCATTGACTAATTTATCCAGCCATAGTATAGAGAATTTTCCTTTCTAAATAGTTTTACCTTCCACCTTCCAGTTTTTTGGGGGCATCCTGGATTCCCTGGAGCTCCTCCCTTTTGCAGCAGCAGGTCAATGAACTGTTTACTTAGAAGTCTGTCCGCTGTTGAGAAAGGAAAGTTAAATAAAATCTTTCATTTGATTTTTAGCAAATAGGGGGCAAAATATTTCCATTTTTGAACATATTTCTTTTTTTTCAGTTATTACTATTATTCAGTTATTACTAATATAATTAAAAATAAACTTAAAAAAGAACAAAAGTAAAGTAAATTGAATGAGAAAATATATTATAAACTTGCTGTTATTTCACGTCTGTAGGGATGTATCTTTTAATTAAAGCAAGAAGTTTAGGTATTTTGTCAGCTGATAGCTATGTTCGGCTTCAATTTATTTATATAGCGCCAATTCACAGCACATGTCAACTCAAGGCACTTTACAGAGACAATTCAACCAGATCACACAGTCAATTTGATTAAACCTTTCTATCTAAGGAAAACCAGTTGATTGCATCGACTCATTGACTCGAAAACATTCCATCACACGAAGCACGCTTGTGGCGATAGTGGGGAGGAAAAAGCAGGTATACAGAAAGAAGCATAAAGAAAGATACAAAAGGCAACTGTCAACCAGCTCCCCAGGCAGCCCCGTCCAGGAAGCACACAGCCAGGCAGACAAGCTCTGAGCCAGCTCCCATTTCAGAGGATGAAGAGAGCACATCCAGCCAGTCAGTAAAAAAAACAGGACTACACAGGAAAAACAGGCGAAGCTCGAACATCTATAAACAAAGCTGTTAATGGCTGCAGCACAGCTGATATTTCTCTCCAGAATGGTGTCACAGCAAAACAGGAACAGACCAAATGAAGCTACTATGAGAAAAAGAAGAGAGAGCATAGCATTAGAGACTTAACTCAGACGTTTCTCAGAGTGAGAGAATAGAGATAGAATGATGAAAAAAAGTCCCTATGTCCTCCAGCAGTTTAAGCCTATATCAACTACATAGATAGCTCAGGATAACCTGAGCCACTCTAACTATAAGCTTTATTAAAAAGGAAAGTTTAACACTACCCTTAAAAGTATGTGAACACAGTGTCAAGGAGAAAAGAAAGGTTGCTGCTGCTCATAAGGGAATTTAAGGAAAGTTCTATTTTTTTTTCGGTTGAAATTACGTTTCATCATGTTACAGTTAGAGACGCTTTTCACAGGTGCAGAATATTTCAAATTAGGGCTGCAAATAACAATTATTTTGCAAATCGATTAATCTGTCAATTATTTTTTCCGATTAATAATCTGATAGCCAAAGGTTCCTGAAAGAAGAGTCTTTCACAACCAAACCAAATGAAAATAAAACTTTTCCACTGAAGGATTTCTCGTTAGAGCATATTGATGGACGAAAACATTTTTTAAAAAATCTTAAATGCAAAATCTTTTATATTTTTTTGACAGTCTTAATATAATTACTGTGCTAAGTGGGCCGCTCTGTCAGCTAAATGCATGTTTTAGAGTCTCTATTCTCCAGTAAATGATTAATCGATTACTAATTGACGATTATTTTCAATAATCAATTATTCACGATTAATCCGATTAATGCGCTTGGAAATTCCTCGTTGCTTTGAGAAGTTTGGAATGGTTGATGGATAAATGGATAGGTATATCGATGGATTATCTATAATATAAATCGAAATGTATGTTTTAAGGACACCAAACCTCCTACATAATATGACTCTCAGAAAGTGTATAAGTTTTCCATTTCACTTATTGATCTAGTTATTTTTTGCTTTTTTTTTTAGGTGTCACCGAAGTCTCCTCTCTTGGGTTCCTCTCCTCCATCTGGGGAACCAAAATAAATCATTCCAGCAGCTCCCCAGCTGCTCCATTCATGTTTCTCCTTCCATGTAATTAAGATAACCAGTGGGTTTGTTCACGTAGTTGTTTCATTCAGATTTTTTCTTGGTACATTGCCTTGTGCATATAATAATTTCTTAAACCATTGACATATTTAATTTCTTTCCGTCTTTGTTGACTTTTAAATCCTCAGTTATGGTAGGGAGTATACAGTAGATAGTCTCATCAGTCTACCAATTTTACATTTCTGTCCTCTACACTGTTTGTGGTGGCACTTACAAGTCAAAACTGCTAACCAAACTTCATTAATTTCATTATTGTCAGTCATTTTCTGATTTTATTTATAATCTTTTTCATTTTAAATGTTTTCAGGGGCAAAGCTCCTGCAGTAGCATCATTATTTGTGACAATTACTGCCATTTGGAAAAGGAAAAGCCAGGCCTACCATAGATAAGTGTCCTTGCATCAACTCGCTCATTGGTGCTACTAAATAAAAAACACAAAAACCCAACACCATATTATGTCCATATTTCTACACAGGATTTATTTTCACAGGATTTATTTTTATATATATATTTTTTTGTTCTGAACTCATTCAGGACCTTTAATAATTATGATTTTTTTTTTTTCTATCTGAGGAAGAGGAAAAATTATTACCAGCGGATGAATACAAACTGTATGCATTGGCAAATTGTACCAAAAGATTTGTCTTTTCCCTCGTCTGCAAGATGGTGTGTAATACATGGTTGTTTTTTTTATTTATAATAAGAAAGATAAATCCTCAGCAGTGATAAGGAGAGATTGGATTGTATCTGTTTATGCAACGTGTGATTGTAAGTCTAACTGGGTTAAATAGTGACTAAAAGCGCTAGAGAAGCTTGTCAGGGAAACAGGAGGTGAGCATTCAGAGTCTTTAAAAGTGTTTCTCATGTAAGATATAAATCCTGAAATAATATATGTCAACACAAACTCTGAATGATTATGCATAAAGTCTAACTCAACAGAAGTGCATTGGTTGTTGATGTCCAGATGTCTTTTACTTTTAAAGGATTTTTTCACCTTTTTCAGATCCACTTTTTAGTGAAGACTTTTGATAAACTTTGCTGTTTTTAATTTAAATATCTATCTTTTTTATACATATAGAACCTTTAACCTCACTCCAAGTATGTAATAGCACAGCTCTGTTGGTTTTCTGCTGGTTTCTGTAAATTATAGACCTCTGTAATATGTGCGTTTGAAAAAATACAAACACATTTACTTAATAAATGTGCAACACGTTTGTCTTCTATTCATATGGGGATCTTGCGTGTTATGTCACAATCTAGACACAAAATGCTGCATATTTTGCACAAAATAGTGCAAACTTGTTAAATTTTAGAAAATATAAGTGATCATTTTAACAATTTGTTATATGCAAGTTAGAAAATATTGGTGTACTTCTTTTTACACACGAGTCCTGCCTAAATCAGGAGTTTGAAATTTCATTTACAAAGAGCTCTGGTTATATGAACTTTATTGTATTTTGCAATTTTAGTCACTTTGTACTGTTTGAAATACCATATCCCTCTGCTTCATGACGTAATCAGGCTTTTGTTGGTCTTTTAGGGTCTTGTGGGTTAAAAAAAAAACCCTCATTATTAATGCTGGTATTTCAGGATAGCCTAAAAGGTTTTTTAAAGATGGTTGTGAATATTTGAAAGATGAATGGAGTCAAATACAGGGCATTCCAAAACAATAAAGTGGTTAATATCACAACATATTCATAAGTTAGAGTGGTGCAGTCAAAGTCTAGACATAAATCCCATTAGAACATCTAGGGAATTCATTCTATTCATATAGTACCAAATCACAAAAAAACTAATCACAAAGCACTTTAAAAAATAAAAATAAAATTTTGTCCAGTCTTACAGTTTTATTACATAAGTTTCATTCTAGTTTTAATACAATTGATTCGATTTCATGTTATTTTAAGGTTTTAGACTTGGAAAATTAATGTCCACAGATGCTCCCCATCCAGTCTAACTGAGCTAGAGCTACTCGAAATAGTTGAGAGCTTGTATGGACAGCTTGTATTAACATAGAATTAAATACTTAAATTACCTGCAGCTATATTGGCACTGAAATGTAGTTCTTTAATGGCTTAGCAAAAAAAACTAGAATAGAAAATGCTGATAAGCAAGAGATCTCTCCAATTCACAGAGTTTATCTTTTTGTATCATATGAATAGTTTAACTATAGCCTCAGGACTGGCAGGATCCCCCCTCCTGAAGAGAGGATCTTATATCTGCTATTCCTAATGAAGGTAAAAATCACAAAGACTGCTGCAATTATAGACCGATATCAGTCTTACATATAGATTATTAACTTTTAATAGATAGTAAACACTTCATCTTCGGGTGAGGGGGTTTGGGTTTAGCAGGCCTCAAAGAATACTTCTATGAATACTTCTATGAATACTTCTAGATTCAATAAGTAAAACTACAAATGGAATATGGAATACAGTACTTGAAAATTATAAATCATACAAAGATATAAGTCCCTTGAGTTGGTTTGCTTGGGATTCGAGGTTCAGACCAGGTGTTTATGATGAAGGGTTCAAGCAGTAGGGAGATAAAGGTATTACAACAATATGTAAAATGGAAGAAAAGGGTAAGTTACTGAGTTTCAAAAACTTAAAGACAACATTTAAATTAGATGATCTGGATCAGTATGTTGCCTTGGTCTGAGCAGGTAAATTACACAATTTTGTGAATGGGATTAGATTATTTACATTTAAAGTAAGAAAAAAAACATCAATTTACTTATTTCAAATGCATAATATTGATCTTATTTTTGTGAGCAAAAATAATCAGTTATCATAATTGCTTGCTCAAATTAAGGATACACTTATTCTGAGAAATTATTACTTTTCATTTAGTTTAGTGTGATATGAAACAAATTTTTTATGGTAATATTTTCTGACAGAAGAGACTGTAACCAATTTGTCCCCTGGACCAATTTTAATATTTTGCATTTACATTTTACTTAAACCATTATTTAGAAATTACAGTTTACTTTAAGCTTCAGTTGTAAAAAAAAAAATATTTTCACCTGTTTAATCAGAAGTCTGCATCCTTGGATTTGTGGCTTACTTAATGTAATGTGTTTGTTTTTACTTTGTTCTGTGCCACCATAAAAAAAACACTCCCCCCTCCCCTCATTGTAAATTTCGTCTAGAACCGCCACAGATTAAAAAAAATAAAAATAAAATGGGGAAAGTAACACCGCCTATACCAAGGACGGGCAACTGCAGTTACTGGGGGCAGGTATCCTGCAACTTTTAGGTCCACTCTTGGTCCAACACACCTGAGTCAAACGGTTGAGTTACCTCCTCAGTTTGCAGTTGGTTCCTCCAGAGTCCTCCTAATCATTTAATTATTTTATTCAGGTGTGTTGAATGGCACATGTAAAGGCACATGTGAAAGTTGCAGGATAATGGAATTGGCCACCTCTGGCTCATACTCTCACATCTGCGTTTCTAAGACTTTCCACTAGAGGGAGTCACTGTACAGTCTGATGCTGAACATTTCTGACAGAAGATGAACAAGGAAACCTTTTATATCATGCCAAATTAATAAAAATATCTTAAGGAAAATAACAATTATTTCAAAGCTTATTACAAGGTTCATAATCTTTAAAATCTGGAATTTTATATATTCAGATTTCAGGACGAACATTACAGAAAAATATTTGATTTCTGTCAGGGTTCTGCCCTCTGTTTAAGTTTATTTTTTATTTTCTTGTCATTCTGTGTCTTTCTAGTTGTTTTCTGTCAGTTTTGTATTTCTTGAGTCACTCTCTGCTGCCCCATTGTGCCTATTTCCTTTCCTCTTGGCTTCCTTCTAGTTAGTTCTATTCACACCTGCTCCATATCAGCTCATTAGTCCTTTGTTCTGTTCTCCATATAATCACCACCTCTGCAGTTCCTTAATAATGCTTTCTCATTGTTTTGTTGCTTCCTCATCTCTTTGCTTTCTACGTGTGTTTTTCCCTGATGTTCATGTGTTTTTTTTTTCAGTATTTTTGTATTTTCCTGGATTTTTGCCTCAGTTGTCTGAGTCCTAAATCAAATCAGCAAAACTCATCTCTGCATCTGGTACCTCAAAAACCTCCACCCAACCTTGACAATTTCACAGATTTTTTTTTTTATTTTCAACTTTCTAAGACAAAAAAAAAGTTCATGAAACTTTACAGCTTCAGTTGATTTTACATTAGTATGAATTTTTATATTTTTTGATTTGCAACATTCCACCTTGCTTTTGTAGCCATCAGTATTTAGTCTTATGACTTCCCATCTCCATGCATTCGCTTGGGGAAAAAAAAGCAATTTCCCTTCTTTTCAGACTTTAAGTTAAATCAGCCATGTTGATGTTCAAACTCTGTCCCATTGTCCTTATTTTATAAATACAAACATCTAAGAATTGAATATAAATCAAGTCTAAGTTAGTCTAGACGCCAACCATAGCATTAAAAAGACTCTATAAGACTGACAAGTTTCAGCTCTGTGGAGTCTGTGATTTAATGAATATAAAGGAACTGCCCTTAAATTGTTTAAAGTAAAGTTATTGAAATCAAAATGTCACTGCAGAACAAAATGGAAAATAAATGCATTGAATCCTGTCGTTTAGACTTAGTTTTTTCTTCTCTTGGTAACATGTGACCAAAACATGTTGGTAGATATTGCATAAATCTCATTATTCCACTTTAGAAGAGTACGTTTAAAAAAATGAAATGCTTATTCCAATATAAAAACAGGTTTACACAAAATTGACTGTGAACAGGATGCACAAATTTTCCCCTTTTCAGAAACAACATTGAAGTCTTCTGTGGTGGTAATCTCTGAGAAAACGCTTTTGCAGACAACAGCTGTTGGGTTCAGACAGCTGCTTCTTACTGGGAGGAGCTGATGAGATAACCCACTGCTGGAACTAAGTTGACTTAACAGTTTGAAAAACACTAGAAGGTTCTTTAGAAGACAACTGGCTTTTCCAAGTGGGCAGCTTAAAACTTCTTAAACGATTAAAAAGTTGTTTTCATTCCTCAACATGTGCTTCGTTTATAACTGGTACTCCCTGTTAATTAAAAATGTCACTGTGAAAGGGAACACTGGCGTCTCAGCAACATCTATGATATATTTCAGCCTTTCATGTAAGGATGACAATTTGTGTCACATGGTGGCAGAACCAACTACATCTAAAAGAGAAAATGGCACATTTATATAGATTAAATCTGATTAATATTTGTGGCAATCATGAGTGAATCTGAATTTATGACTTCATTTCTGCGTTTTTGTAATCCAACAATAAGAATTAATGCAGGTATGTAAATGTAGATGATGTGTAGCTGAATTGAGACCGAAGGCAGAGATAATTAAATGAAAATGGAAGAAATGCAAAGAAAACAAGGATCGAATCTGTATCAAATAATCACAGTTGCAGAGTTTGATCAATATTTCACTTGTACCTTTGTTCTATATAGGAATGATTATGTTTAGGTAGGACATCAAGTCTAGTTTAGTAAATTAATGCTGGCAAATGATTGCCACCTGCAGACCAACATGGAAATTTAAGGTAAATAGTGTCTGAATCCTGTTAGTGGATGACCTACCCGCCCCAGCTGGTGAACAATACCTCCTTAATGACCAACCCTTAACAATCATAGACAGGTTTCAGGTATTACAGGAGACAATCCCCCCCCTTAATGGCAATCCCCCCTTTAACGACCGACCCCTAGAATCATAGACAGGTTCAGATATTACAGGCTAACGATGGAACTAACGACCCATTCATCGGTTACCATTGCATGTTTCCAAGCGATACAAGGCGTTGTCTATATAAGACTCAAACTCACTGCGGATCCAGACATTTGAATTGAGAAAGCTTCCTGGAGAGGTGGCGAAACGTCTTCAGATCTTGAAAACCAAGTCCAGTGGATATTTTTTGAATTTTTACGGAATGACTGGACACTAATAGCACATGTTAGTGGAAGTGTGTGAAATAAATCTACGGATGGATGGATGGATGGATGGATGGATGGATGGATGGATGGATGGATGGATGGATGGATGGATGGATGGATGGATGGATGGATGGATGGATGGATGGATGGATGGATGGATGGATGGATGGATGGATGGATGGATGTTTATTCTTCTATTTTATGTGTGATTTTTCATTTATATACAACATTGTAAAACAGATGTGGTAATAATAATACAATATTTATCATTGAGTTCTACGTACAGATTTATGAGGAACAGATTTTAATCTACACTATTTCAAATGTTTTGCCCTCACACAGGAATTCAAATTAAGCAGACATACACCCCTACTAATACCTGATAATTGTTCATAACAAAGTTCATCTTCTGCCATTGATTGAAACTTTATAATTTTACATTGGAACTGAGGTCTGTTCCAATGTGAGAATGATTCCAAGTGGTTAAGAACAAGAGGTTAAGAACAACAAACATAAAAATTTATAAATAGCCCCTACGTCAAAATGACTAAAGGTTTGTTAACTATGCTTTAAACCCAAACCAGTGGCTGTGAATCAACATTTTCTACTGAAGTCGATAAACATCCAGAGGTAAGTCAGAAGCTGAATAGTTTCCCTGCAACTTGATTTTTTTTTTATCATTGATAATTGAGGTTTAGTTTATCTGTGAAGCTAGATGTAAAATACAGACCCTATTCTTATTCTCATGAAATTTGCATGTTTTGCTTTTCCTCTATAACAGAATACATTTCAAATTAATAATAATGAAATGTTCAAATATTTTATCAAATTACAGAAATATATTAAAAAAAACAAGGAAAAAATAAACAAAACCCAACAAATGCACTCTATATATTGAAAATTCTTAATGAGAATGAATGAATCACATTTTAATAAAATACAGCTCTATATCAATTTTAGATCAGTTCTTTGCTGCTGTACTAAATAATTTAAAATAAATTGTATTTTTCTAAACTGGATACATTTCTCTAGCATTTTTTCTGAAGTGTTTAGTTTAATGTATTTGAACCCTTATACAGAGAGGTGTTCAAGAACATCTAGAATTTAGACAGAGATAACAGCGACGGGAGAATAAAAATATGCTGGAATTCATGTTTGCTCTGTTCAGTTTTCTACTTTGATGAACATGTTTCCATGAAGTTTTTTAGAACAGACATGTAAGGGCGAGCTTAAAGCACCACCCTTTCAGCTGAGCTGGAAATAAGACTTATCTTTTCACCATGTGTGTATGCAGCCCAGCAGCTGCAATGTAGTGCATTAGATAAGATTATTTTTTATGTACGTTCTGGCAGGAGGAGACAGAAAATGTCTAGACTTTATATTTTGGAAGATATCCAGACAAATCTAATTATATTACCTGATTGGAGAGCCTGGATTTCAAACTCTGCTTGGATCTTCTCTATCTGTGTTATAAGATATTTTTAAAGGTAGAACTCTGTATGTATCTGATAGTAATTAACTCTTCTAGAGTTCTACTAGAATTCTACTTTTTTTAAATTATTATTAAAACAAACAAAAAATGGAAGAGGAACTACAAAGTGAGCCATTTTCAAAAAATGTTATTCTTTACATATTCATCAAAATTTTTTTTTATATCACATTGAATTAGTTAAATCCAGTTGAGTATATCTCTAGATGGAAAATCTCACCTGCAATGGTCATTTTAACAGTGAGATCCTATGGTGCAGTCTAAATTTCTTTTATCGTATAAGGATTTCCTTTATCTCAGCAAAATGAATTTCATCTGTTGGACCGCCTCACATTTCCTATCTTGGGGGAGGTACTGGGTGTGCCTGTCCTCCTTCGAAGGCATAAAACCCTCAAGATCTTCAATCAACACGGTACTTAACTTAAACAGCCACAATGACAAGTCTTACTGCCAAGGACAAAGACACCGTGAAGGCCTTCTGGGCGAAGATCTCCCCCAAGGCAGCAGCCATTGGAGCAGATGCTCTTGGCAGGTAAATGGAATCAAAGCCATCAGTTTTCAGTCTCTCACTGGTTTCAATTAAACCCACTCTTTTGTTTTTTTCCCACTCAGGATGCTGGTGGTGTACCCACAGACCAAGACCTACTTCGCCCACTGGAATGACCTGAGCCCTGGCTCTGCCCCGGTGAAGAAGCACGGAGCTACAGTTATGGGTGGAGTTGGTGAGGCTGTTGGCAAAATCGACAATCTGACAGCCGGTCTCCTGAACCTCAGCGAGCTGCATGCCTTCACTCTGAGGGTGGACCCTGCTAATTTCAAGGTGAAGATTCAAAGCTTTTATTATTTTTTTGTATATACCTCCATTATATTACATGGAGACAATTTTGCTCAGTTAGGTAGATCAAAGTGTAATCTCCCGGGTTTTCTTTGCAGATTCTTGCTCACAACATCCTTGTGGTCTTGGCCTGCACCTTCCCCAGCGACTTCACCCCTGAGGTCCATGTGGCTATGGACAAGTTCCTGGCTGCTGTGGCCTTGGCTCTGTCTGAGAAGTACAGATAAATGCCTGGAGAAGAGATGGAAATGATTGAGTCCATTCCTAATGTGATAAATAAAGGCATAAATGTAAAAACACCAAAATAATTAATGATTCTTTTGTTCTGTGTCTGTTGTTTGCAAACGTGATCAAATTTGTTTGAAAATTCATAGCCATATGGGAGAAGATAAACATGTTTTATATATTCCATTTTAGAAACAATAACTGTTCTTTTGTCATGATAAGGGCCTGGGTGATGCGTTCAGAATGTTTCAGGTGGATTTGGTCAAAAGTACAAAAAAAATGAATGCCAATAATTTTATAATACCACAGAACACAGAAGACTCTCAAATTCCACTTGGTGATTTTAAAATTTTATTTAAAATAGAACTCAATAAAAAATAGCAACTTTTGGATTAAATTTATTTCAGACTGAAACAACCTGCATTTTGGTAATTTCTTTTTAAAATAATTATGGCTTAATGATAATAATAATAATAATAATAATAATAATAATAATAATAATAATAATAATAATAATAATAATAATAATAATAATATTAATACTAATAATAATAATAATCATATTAACATTTAACATATAAACATACACCAGTCTATATTTGTCAACATGAAAACAGTTTTGTGAAAACAGTGCTCTTAGGGCTCTCGTGCTTTTGGGGTCCAAACAGCAGTTATCCTTGCATGCTGGTTACTCACATTAGTTTATAGTTAAATAGCTCACATTGAAGAATTTTTGTAAGTTAGACTATTTGATTTACATTTTAAATACTATAAATTAACGTGAGAACTGGTTTTCTTTGGAACTAATTGACCAAACTCAACATTTATAAAAAAAAAAAAAAAAACTAACTATATATAATAATGTCAGCCCAATCCTAATTCTTAATCATGTGATAACCAGGGTCCTATTTTCTTAAAAAGAAGAAGCTTGACAGACTAAAAACTTGATCCTAACTGTGAAGTATGGTGATGTGCAGGGGTTTTTACAGCAGAGGGGAACTGGTTTGCCTCTTAAAATAGATTAAATTATGAGGAGAAATCATATTCAAATTCTCAAGGTAGATCTAGAAAGTTAAAGTTTAGAACTGATTTAAAGAATAACACAAAATCAGTTGAAAAAGTGGCTAAAGGACGACAAGAAACTTTTTTGGAGAGGTCCTCACAGTTGTCTGATATCAATCCCGTAGCAAATTTGTCGGCAGAGGGAAAAGGTTATCTATGAGCAAAGCAGCCTTCAAACCTGACTCAGTTGCACTTTTTTTTTTACAATCTATTAGATTAAATTATTTAGATATTTATTTTACTATAGTTAATGCACCAAGTCCAAAAAGGTTGAGGTTAATCCACACAGGCTTCTAATTATAACATCATTCGTCTATCGAATTAAACGTCTCACTACAATAAGAGACTAGACCAAAGAGACATTCGATCATGTGAATGAAATATATGACAATACTTGAAGCAAAATAAACTGATTATCAGCATAAGCAAGTAAAGTAGGGGAAATACATTTGTGGAATTTCCTCTTGTTCCGTTAGAATTGTCATAAAGACTAGAGCTATAATCACTTCTAAGAGCTTCTAAAATCCTTTTGAACATTCCCCAAAATAGATACTCCATATTTACCAGCTTAATGTGATTGACCTTTAGGTCCACCTTGAATTTTTAAACCACCCTGCTATTTTTGTTTTTGAAAAGATTTTGTCTTGTTCATCATTTTATGAATTGCAGTAATGCTCATTATACATAAAAGAGGCCTAAAAAAGGACAAAAATTTTTAATTTGCTCAAATATTTTATTGTTTTATTTTTTAGACCAAAACAATCAGTCTGAAAGGATCATGATTTAGGGTCTTTAGCTGGAGCACTCTAGTGGTACTGCTTTCTGAGGGAGGCCACAACCACAGCTAAGAACTTCTGGAAAGCTGCCTGGACATCAGCAGTGAAAGCTTCACCCATCTGAGAGGCAACCACGATGCTGAGGCAGTCGGAAAGAAGCTGCAGAGCAACAACATATCATCAGAAAACAATGAAAACCTGAACATGCAGTGAATGATAAGCAGTGAGGAGTTTTCATTACATTGAAGTTGTCAGGATCAACATGGAGCTTCTCAGAGTGCAGCACACTCAGGTCTTTGTATGTGGTCTTGATGTCATCCATGTTCTTCACAGCCTTTTCCAGACCAGCAAGGACAACCTGTCCATGAGCCGCCACTTTGGGGTTGGACTTTATAGCTTCCGCATTGTAGAGGTTTCCAAAGCTACCAAAGTACCTCTGAGTCCAGGGGTAGACAATCAGACACCTGAGAAGACATTTTGAGAATTATAGAGCAGCAGTATAACAAAACGCATTGATGAACACTGACTTTATTTTATAGTTTGTGATAATATAAGACAGTTGTTTTACCTGGAAAGAGCTGCAGGCCCCACGACAGCACTGTCGATTTTGGAGAAGATGTCCTTGATGGTGGCACGCTCGAAATCAGTCCACTGAACCATTTTTTCAAGCTGTTGTCGTTCCTGTCTTTAGCAGCTGCTGTGCTCACATGTCTGACACAAGGGAGAACTTTTAAAGCAAATCCATTCCCCCCACCCCAGAAGGCTGCATCTGATAGGGTAGGTGGGACAGACAAGAAGGTGACGTGATAAGTGTTTGGAACAAATGATAAGGGGTGTGCCGAGCTCCTGGGACAGAGCTTTTATCATAAACATGTTTAGCTTTACTTTCTGCTTCCTTATACAATGTGTTTCAGAAGCATTCTTATGACTTAAACTCTCTCAATTAAAGTTGAAACCAGAACTACAGATTATCTGACTTAGAGCTTTGGTGATTGACCACATCTTGTATTTACTTACGACAGGGCCTTCATAGAAAGTGGTTGTGCTAGATTTTATTTGGGAGTCGTGGGTTAAAGGGGAATTTATACTTACCCATGTCCCTTTTTTTAGGGTTCGTATTATATATTTAAAAACTTTGCATTGTTTCTCCCACTTTAGGTCAGTCTATCACATGAAATCTTTAATAAATATGTTGAGATCAGTGTTATTACAATGTAAATGGGTCATTATGCAAGGTACTGTATCTGTATGTTTCAGGTGCTGCAAACATAAAATTAATGCATTTATCTGTAACAATGGTTAATTGGGAGAAAAGTAGAAAATAAAATATTTTTGCCTAACACTTTAAAATTTCAAAAGCAATCTCCTTTTTTCTAAATTGGGAGAAAAAAAATCTTAGCTTAATTATTGTCTCCCAGATAAAGACAGTCCCGACACCTATTCTGTTTTTATTTAACTTTTTTTTGTGTGTGTGTCTTGATAAAATGAAATCAAACTGTGGATTTAAAAAGCAAAAAAATTTATTTTTACATAACGGCAAAAAATAGGTGACCTTTTGAAATGCTAGCATTAATATAATATATTTATATATTTTTCTATTTCTTTTTTATGTATTACTAAGAAAGATATTTTCTAGTTTAAAGAAACTTCTGAGACAGAAAGATCTTATCTCCAACATAGCTCTTTAGGATGACTTGGACCGCCTCCCATGGTGCTGGGTGTGCCTGTGCTCTTTCTCAGACATATAACTCTCACACTGTTGGTTTATTACTGAAATAGCAACAATGACTAGTCTTACTGCCAAGGATAAGAAAACTGTCAAAGACTTCTGGGAGAAGATCTCTCCCAATGCAGCGGCCATTGGAGCAGATGCTCTTGGCAGGTAATATGACCTAAAACCTTTTAATATCAACCACTTTTTCAAAAAATGCATTAATCCATTCTGTTTTGTCCCCACTCAGGATGCTGGTGGTATATCCCCAGACCAAGACCTACTTCTCTCATTGGAATGACCTGAGCCCTGGCTCTGCCCCAGTGAAAAAACACGGAGCTACAGTGATGGCTGGAGTTGGTGAGGCTGTGGCTAAAACTGAGAATCTGACAGCAGGTCTCCTGGACCTCAGCGAGCTGCATGCCTTCACTCTGAGAGTGGACCCTGCTAATTTCAAGGTGAATATTTTACACATGCATTCACCACAAACCTGCTTTATTTGGGCTGCATTGGTCCTTGTTTTCTATCAGTGTTGCTGAAGTCCAATGCCTCTCATCACCTGTTTCTTTATAGATTCTTGCCCACAACATCCTTGTGGTTCTGGCTATGAAACAGCCCAACGACTTCACCCCTGAGGTCCATGTGGCTATGGACAAATTTCTGGCTGCTGTTGCTCTTGCTTTGTCTGAAAAGTACAGATGAACTGCTGAATTTGGGAAAAAGAGATGATCAATAAACATGGATGGAAAAGCACAAAATGTTGATTTCTGTTTTGTTACTTGTAATTTGTGTGATTCCTTATCAAAACGGTTTTCAAAAGGTTATGAATCTGTTTAACCGCAACCGAGATAAAAAAATTAAAAATTAATAAAAAACCCACACTCTATATATGCTCAAGGGATAGAAGTGATAAATTAATCAAAACAGCAAAATGTAGCCTATTTTATAATCTGACTTTATCCTTAGTCCTGAAAGATTAAAATAATGAATTCCAGATTTATCAGAATTGCAGAAGTGTATGAAAAAAACAAGGAAAAAATAAACAAAAACACAATGAATTCACTCCATATAATGAAAATTGTAAATATTTTGCAGTTTTGGTTTTATAGAGGTTCTTACAAACAGTATATTTTTTTATGTTTAAATCTTTTAATTGTTAAACATTCTTTAAAAAGAGACAAACAAAAAACAAAAGAACAATCATAATATATCTCCCAAATGACAACATAGGCATGGCCTCTTTAAGACGGGTGACTTCCTTTGATTTATTGAGCATTGTCAAAACTACAGCATAAAGCAAAAGCCTTTAGGCAATTTATTGAGCTACAATGAATATGACACCATTATTGTGCTCATTAAATGTGTAGAAGAACTCTTCACATGGTTGTTACAGAAACAAAACTGAATGAATAGTTTTGGACCATAAAAGGAGTGTTTAAGAGTTAGTACATAGCTTCAGTTATTACAGCTAGAAACCACCAATCAGGCTTAAAATCTGCGTGTAGCGATGACCCACACCTGAACCCCTGAAGGTACATAAAGGCAGTAACAAAGCTGGCCTTCTATCACCTGAAGAAAATCTCCAGGATTAACAACTAATGTCTCAGAAGGACCTCATACCTTACTGCAAAAGTCTTTACAGGGCTGCCCAAATAGTGGATAATACAGCTGCAGTGGATCCAGTATGCTGCTGCCTGTGACCTCACCAAAAAAGTAAATGGAGCACATCAACCCAGTTCTAATGCACTTCCACTTACTCCCCCTATCTCCGAAAATAGACTTACAATACATCTGTTGGTCTATGAATCACTGAATGGCTTATGTCCAGAATTCATTACCGACTTATTGTCAATATATAGACCACAGAGACCTCTCAGGTGTTCTAGTTCAACTGTCTCTACTCTGGATAACCATCACTAGTGTGTGTGTGTGTGTGGGTGGGTGTGTTTTGGACAGTTATGTATATCAGTTAAACAATACCCCCCAAATCAGTGCATATTAAGGGCTTTGAACATATGAAATGTAAAATCAGCCATCACATTAATATATAATGGATGCATACTTAGGTGTTGTCCCACATAGAGATTTTATCTATATACTCTGTACAGTGCATGCCCTGTGAAATTGTTTAGAGGGGATTTTGTGTGATGAATTCCTTAATACATAGAGAGATGGAGGTAGAGCTCTGCTGGTTGGAAATAAAGAACAGGTGGCTTGAAAAACAGAGCTGTTTATCTGGTCTGCATTTGCAGGACTGCATCCTCTCCTTGATATTATTTCCTTGATTAGCTATGAGGCTTAGATAGGGAAAGTAGACTGGTTTAGCAAGTTCAGTAATAACAATGCAATTAATACACATCTGTTCACTCATCATGAATGGCTGTTCTGGCTTTGTATCTGATAAAACACATTGGACGAACATTAGAAGATAATGTGGTTCTACAAATCTGCAACTTGTGGAGTTTATTTATCTTATTTTGGTGTAATACCAGAGGTAACATAGGGGGATGCTGGATTGTTAAAAGGAGACACAGATACCTTCATAGCAGGTGTGCTGATTGTGGCAAACATACAGATTTTGACCATTGCCGTGGTTGTAATGCTTGTTTGATCGCTGTGTTGTGGCAAGTAAGTTACTATAAATGTACGACAGCAAAAGCATCTTGTTTCAAGAGCACAAAGGATCAACAAATGCTCTCAAAAAACATCAAGCTTCATTAATTGAAGGGGCGGATCAACCAAGTGACTATCAGCATCCCCTGAGAGGCTTCGGTTCGCTTTTTGTTTGTTTTTTTCTTTGTTCAAACAAGTCACTACATTCTCCTTCTGCACTTTGTGAATTTGATTTGCAAATGAAAATAAAGACTTAATTCCATCTCACAAAGGACTTTGGACCACATGACAACAGTTCATTAGATATTCTCATAGTTACAGTGCAGTACAATTACTCCTTGTACACAAAAATATGTTACCCAATAATTGTGACTCAACAAATGTAACTTGTTACTAGCCACCTCTAGTCTTAACTCAAGGAGCGTGGCAGTTGCTATTTGTATTCCTGAACATGAGTTATTTTAATTAAGAACTTACGTTTTCTTAATTGAATTATTTATATAAATTAACTTCCTGCGATGTTTGAAATATTCGGGATGTACATGTGATGAATTTAATAGTTTGCATTAATGTTGAAATGCTCATGCATAACTTCAATGAAAAGCATACTACTTAATATATCTAATAAATCAATAGTGTTGCTTTCCTTTTTTGGTTAAAATGTTATTGTATCAATAAATCCATAATTAGGCAGCTCGGTGCTTAGGCACTCTCCATGGTGCTACCTCTCATGGTGGTAGTTTGCTACACTCAATCCAGCACCCAGGATAGCTCCACGAGGCAGAGTGGAGATGGATGTGTTGAGATTTAGAGATGAATATCACAGCAGATTCCAAAAAGAATAATAGAGCACTCCTGTTTTTTCTACTTTAATTCAGTTTAGTATTTTAATACTTTGTATTTTTAGTTCTGTGATGCACTGGTCCAAAAACAAAGACCAAGACCTGATGCACCTGTCCAGTGGAGACAGGAGACAGACAACAGCTCCACCGTGACCCTGACAGAATAAGCAGGAGATGATGGATGGATGCTATTTTAAGATATTTATGGGATTACGTACATTTTTGATTTCTGTATGCTGCTTAAAATAAATTACACTCTTGTTCTGGCATAAAAAAAGGTGCAAAAAAAAAAATTTAAACTCATGAAAACCCGTATTACGAGTTTCATAATTGAGACCATATCATCTAAATCATACTCAGAGGTTTTTTAATAGTTTGTTTAGTAGTTTGGTTTTTTAACATAAATTAATAGCCTTTCTCAGATATAAATCCTGTTTGTGTTCGAAAAAATGACTTGAATAATTTCCCTTCGCAGATTAAAATACAAAACATAGAGGAAAATAAAAACAACATGTTTAATTGTAAGGTCGTATCTTCTCGGCTGCAAATTCTTGTCACGTTGATAAATGCGGGTTTAGTATTAAATCCTTCCAGCAGAGGACGCTCTATCATCAGCCAATAAACTAAAGATAGCGACCATAAAACAGGCTTAAATCGGAGGCAACCAGACATTCGCTCAGTTTTTCTGATAAGGTTTTAAAACCAATATGTGTCAGCTCTATCAGCTAGCACTATTATAACCTTTAGTTGGAGCTCTGAGCTTTTTAAGCCACAGGGAGTCTTTCCTCCAAAGCATATTACATGGAAATCAATGAGCCATCTGTCGTTCTCTTGGGTAGTTGTGGCCTTTATTTTATTTTATTTTATTTTTTAGGAGTTTTGTGTTTGGCTATTTAAATCAAGATAAGATCGTTTCTGTAACCTCTTTAGACTGATTTGTATATGATTTAGAGCTGAAAGTACAGTCCTTCCCTTTCTGATCACTGATGGCTTTTTTTTTCTTTTTGCAGAAGATGGCTTCCTTCACTACTGTTGCATACTATCCAGTTTTTTCATGATCTGAATATGTTGATCATCAAAGATGTTTCCTTTTGTTCTTCAGGGGTTAGTGAACAACTAAACCAGCTGCTGGCTCTGGGTGCCCCATGCTTAACAAATATCGAGTTTGGGGTAAAATAACTTGTACGAGTGTGTCTATTGCACTGTCACTAGTTTGATTTGGTTTATTTATAGTGTAAATATTTGTAAATGCTTGAAGTTCACAAATACATTTACTATTCAATAGATACCAATTTTGATTAAAACAAAAAACAAGAAAAAAATGTGCCTAGGTTTTCTAAGGACGAATTCTATGAACCACCACCTAAGTATATCACAGACGATTAGTTCCTTTATTTTTAGATAGAAATGCAAGGAGCATATAATGCCCCATGCATTGTTTTATTTAATTGTGCTGTTTTCTTAGTTGTTTATAAGTTTATTATATTGTGCTTGCTGTATTTGTGTATGGTACTAGTTTTATCACAAGGTAGCACTTTTGGTTTTAAGGTGCTTTGTAAAGAAAATTATATTTTATCGTACAAAAAAGCACCTTGCCTTACCCAAATAAATGCTATGTACAGTAGTAAATTTGTTTTTAATGAACCTTTCCTATAACCTTACTGCATTGTATGTTTCCAGAAACCTCAGAGCTGTAGGTTTGACAATCCTGCATATCTTGCTTTTGAAAATTATAATCAAAACACTTCTCCTATCATGAGGCATCTTCTAACTCACCAAGATCTCATCAAACTATGCAGTCAATACCTATACTGTTGTCTCTCCTAGACCCACTTCTACACAGGTATATCCTCTGAACCAACTGCCTTTCTACTTTTCATCTTATCAAGATCTTCATTACTTCATCCTAACTTATCATGTGATGATACTTATATGGAGCATTTGATCTTTATAGTTTTATATGTGAATATATATGTCATCATCTTTACTAATTGTTGCCCCTTTGTGATCCAGAATGGTCAATTCCTCTGTTCTGTTTCTCTCTTTTTTCTTCCTTAATCAACTCTTCAAAGTACTCCTTCCATCTTGCTATCACACTTATTGTACATGTGAGCACATCAGTACCACTCCAAACTTTTCTGACATACCATCCTTGTGGATTATGTCGATTACTGGACATCATCCACATCTGTCAAGTCACCAGTCTTCCCCTCAATTTTGTAGGCCATCATTGGACAATATATATGACTCCGCATATAACATAGATTTTTTGAAATTGAGTGATATTATAATTTGACAGGCCCATGTAGTTCTTGTGAATATTAAAATTAAAGTAAATAAAGGGCTTGAAATAGTTTATTCCTTCACCTATATGTACTTAATTGTATATATGTAATACTGATGACAATAAGATTAATATTACCATTACTAACAATAAATAAAACAAATGTAAAACATTTATTTTAAAAACTGCTTATAGGGATTAGCAAGCTCATTATGATTACTGAATAAAATGTATGTTTGTCTGCAGCAAAACTACCTACTCATTTTCATAAATGTTTACAACTTTTTTTTAGTTTGCTTTTATTTATTTTATTTCATTTTTTATCTTTAGCTAAAATTATAACCATTTCCTAAACAGTTTATTCCTTACATTTAAACAAATTTTTTCCTCATAACCATGGGGAACACTTTATTTAAAAGGTGAAACCAGCAAAATTATAGAAAACCTGATTAAGATAAGTGTTTTGCACGTAGTTTATTAAACTGAATGGTGTACTCTGCTCCTAATCAAATTCACAAAACAGTTTAGTCGAAATAAATAGTAGAGTAAAAGGCGCATCATGATATTAGAAGTTTTACAACAGAATAAGACATTAAAAGCACATCCATCCCCACCAATAATTAATAAATAAAGATATGAATTGATAGCAATTCTTTTTTCCATGGTTGACCTTTTATGAAAGAAAACCCTACAGATGAGCACAAAAAAAGAATAAGAATGAAGAAGCCACAGATATACAATAAAAACCAATTATGTATTTGCTGAGGAAATTATAGTGAATAAAATAGGCATCAGTTGAATGTGATCAGAAAATACTGCTAAAAATCTGTGGAAGAGAAAAGACAGGAAAACTGGGAGAAATTCACCTTCTCCAACTGATGTAGCTTGACATGAGACAAAGGAAACAAACCAAGATAAAATACCTAAAACTAACATAATAGAATAAACCAAAACTTAATAAGGAACCTTCACATTTCAGAAATAAAAACTAGACACAAACTGATGATATAGAACCAAACTAACAACAATATTAAGCAACACAGATATATCAACAAACTATAAAAATACATAAACAAATATTTACTTGAATGTTTGTGCAAAGAAGCAAACCAGAGATTAACACAGAAAATATGTTCTGAGTTTTAAATATTTTGTCTTCTACAGATACTGTTTTTTTATTTCTAACAAGAAAAGAACTGAAAAGCAAACCAATGACAAACATGCCAGCATTTCAAACATTTATTTGGACGGTATAAAAAAAATGTTGAATTATCTGCTATTTGTCTGTTATTATGATTTTCCTGTGTGCAGTTTATTGATTGTATTGATTGCATTATGTCAGAGATACTGGGTTTGATTTAATTTACATCACAATATCTTTCAGCTATTTTTGTTTATTGTTTGTTGTTTTTTAGTCACGGTGATATTCTAGCATGGACTTTAACTAAAGAAATTTTTTGTTTTTTCTGTAAAAGCCCCAAAAAGACAGAAAGAAAGTCTATAACAAAGGAAGAAACGAGAACTGAAATCCTCAGATGTATTTCTTTTATTGAACATGCCTCCACATGTTTGTAAAGGTGTTACGAATGTGGGGTGTTTTCAATTATTGCCTCTGCCCCGTGGGACTTCAGCGGTACTTCTCGGAGAGGGCCCAGGCCACGCTCTGCAGGAACTTATCCACAGAAACGTGAACCAGGGGCGTGAAGTCTGCAGGGAAGTACATGGCCAAGACCAGGATGATGTTGTGGGCCAGGATCTGCAGGGCGCACAAACATATTGCAGAACATATTAGAGCAGAAACTAAACGCACAACATAGAGTGAAGGGATGTTATACACTTTACTTGAATGCATTGTTTTCATGAAAAACTACCTTAAAGTTGGCAGGATCCACCCGGAGTTTGAAGGCATGGAGCTCACTGAGGGAGCTCAAGGTGTTAGTCAGATTGTCGATCCCTTTCACAGCTGTCCCCAAGGATGCCATGATAGTGGCTCCATGCTTCTTAACTTTAGCGGATTGAGGGCTCAGATCTCCCCAGTGCGAGAAATAGGTCTTAGTTTGAGGGTAAGCAACGAGCATCCTGCAAAGAAAATATTTCAAACCTTAAATAAACAGCACCATCATAGCATATGATGATCATATGCTATTTTGGTTCTTGTAAGGGTTGCATTACTTTACGCGTACCTGCCCAAAGCTTCTCCTCCTATTTCGGCGGACTTCCCTTCCACTTTGGCCCAGAAATCCCTCACTGTGGCCTTGTCTTTGTCAGAGAGACTCATTGTTGCCTTTGGGTTGTCAGCTAGAAAAAATGACCAAAAACGCTGTTTGGGCTAATTTGTAATTGCAGCTTTATATCAAACCTTAATGCACCACGCCTACTTATCAAATCGATGCCACCGCGTTGATAACGAAAGTGCCAAAAACTATCAACCCGTTTGGCTCGATAAAAACTACCACTCCTTCATTTTTACGACAATGCATACGTAAATGCGAGCGGGTTAGAGGAATTACACCTAGGCGCGGCTCGTTGTTTTCTAACGCATATTTTATACTTTACCAAATAAATATAAAATATATTTATGGCAAAATGAACAAGATTCACATCAGACAAAACGTTACAACTTTTCACAGTGCTTTCAAAAACATGAAAAATGTTTTTTTTTTTTTTTAAGAAGATTCTTCATATAGATTGTTTCTGGATTAAAATGATAATAATAATAATAAATACAGATAAGAAACTCCAAATTTTAATGAAACCAAATCTAATTCTCTTACATGACTCTACACCATCTGTCTGAACTAAATTAACAAGAGAAGTGATGATTAAAATTAAAGAAAATTCTAATCTTTAAGTTAAGAGATGCTGCGACCGTTGATGCAACACTCATTGGCATTTATCCATACCGAATAGACGTCATTTTATTGGCAAGTACACCTCGTCCAATCAGAACCGCTCCTGTCCGGGGGACGGGTCACGGACTGTAAATAAATGTTGGCCTTGTAAACATATCCAGACAGTCTTACGCCTTTGATCAACAAACTCGTTTTTGTGTCTATCAGAGAAGGCTTTTATACCATCACCATGGTCGAGTGGACAGACGCCGAGCGCAAAGCCATCACCTCGCTGTGGTCAAACATTGATGTGGGGGAAATTGGTCCCCAGGCCCTAGTCAGGTAACCTGTAAACACATTTTATTACATTAAAGGAAAAAAATGATGATCTGCAATAATCGTTGGAACTTTCTCGTTTTTAGGCTTCTGGTTGTGTTTCCATGGACCCAGAGGTACTTTGGAACTTTTGGCGATCTTTCCACCCCCGCAGCCATCGCCGGAAATCCAAAAGTGGCTCAACATGGGAAAACTGTGATGGGTGGCCTTGAAACCGCAGTGAAGAACCTGGACAACGTCAAGCAGGCCTATGCCAAACTGAGTGTTATGCACTCTGAGAAGCTCCATGTGGATCCCGACAACTTCAGGGCATGTCTTTCCGCACATTAAGAAGCATAAACGTGTTTTATTCTGTGTAGGTTGGTTTATTCTTATTCTTATTGGCTTATGTCTACAGGTCCTCGCTGAATGCATCTCAGTGGTTGTGGCGGCTAAGTTTGGCCCCAGCGTTTTCACCGCTGGATTCCAGGAGGCCTGGCAGAAGTTCTTGGCTGTGGTGGTCTCCGCCCTGGCCAAACAGTACCACTAAAGCGGCAGACCACTAGAGATGTGCAGCAGTTATACAGATCTTCATGACATCACTTTCTGAGCTGCCAAAAATACATTAATAAAAACTCAAATGATATACATGCCTCAGTGTGATTTTTCATGTTCACCTATTGTTTTTAATAAGATGTAAAATATGGACTCATGTTTTCTGAGGACATAATCCTCAGTAATAAACATACAGTATTAAAAACCTTAAACTCGTTAGTCTTAGCTTTCTCATCATGACCAGCAAATAAAAAAATATAATATGAATGAAAAATAAAATCGATATCAATATTGGTTTTAATCCTAAAAATTACCTGACAGACCAGCAAGGGTAAAGGTTTGTAAACGTCTCTCTCAGACAACTAAGGTATCAACCATAAAACAATTTTCTTTTAAATTCAAACTGACTGTAAACTACATCGAATGATGAAAATTAAATAAATAAAAAATCTAATAACATGTATTCGTGTTTTAAACTATATTCCCAGTGTTGCTCCTTTTAAATCTTATTCATTTTTAACTACAAATCTATTCGAAATATAGTTTAAGAGTTAGATATAGCTAATACGGATGAAAAAATAAAAAAATTAAAAAACATTCAGCAAGCTTTTCCTCATACCATCGATATCATTTTTATTTGGGTGGGGCAGACATGAATGTCGAGATAATTAACGTTTATGGTTTAATCAGCGCAAAGCAGCTGGAGCAAACTTGGTACGATCGCCCAAGACAGAGAGAGGAGAAGTTATGCTTGGAAATATTTTATTAGGTCGTGTTGTACTGTTACAAATTCTTATTCCAAGTATTTATTGATTGCATGGCGTCATGGTGAAATGGACAGAAGAGGAGCGCCGGATCATCAGAGGAGTTTGGGAAAAGGTTGATATTGATGAGATCGGCGAACAGCTTTGGGCAAGGTAGAGTTTGTTTGTTCAATTCTAATTTCGAAATGATATAGTGAGTTATTAGATTTAAAAATCTTTAAAAAAAAAAACAACAGCAACATTTATCTCAATGGCAATTTTGTTTTTGTGGCATTTATTGAAAGCAGCACAGTGTTTTGGCTCACCGTCAGGCTATTTCAGCACCAGGCGCTGTCCATCCAGTGAGGATGAATATGTAGACTTTATCATTTCAAAAATGTCCTTCGATGTTTAGTCTTCTAAATTAGGCCTACAGATGGTTTGTCAAAACTATTGTAAAGCTACTCTTCTATGCGGGGGGATTTATTCAGAGATATACAGTATTACTGGTTTAAGTTTTTTTTTTTTTTTTAATCAACAGAGCTCTGATTGTTTACCCATGGATCGAGCGATATTTCGGTGGTTTTGGGGACATCTTCACCACTACTGCGATTTTAAACAACCCCAAATTGTCCGCCCTGGGAAAGGTCGTTTTGACGGCTGTTGACAACACTGTGAAGAACATGGACAACTTTAAAGAAATGTACGATTCTCTAAGCAGGCTGCACTACGAGAAAATCAAAGTGGATCCGGACAACTTCAGAGTAAGCCACTAACGTGATATTTAGGTTACATTTAGTTTATCTAAATTGTTCTGTTGTAAATTTTCATTGGTATATATTTTTCTCAAACATTAAATCACTTTGGTCATGATTCGGAACTTTTTGGTTCTGTCTAAGTTTTCTTTTTGAGTTTTTAGTTATGCTTTGTTTCATGTCTTTCTGTGTTTTCTAGTTTATTGGTTTCATTTCCATTTTGTGTTATTCTAGTTGTTTTTGGTTATATTTTTTGAGTATTTCTTGTTTACCATCTGTTGCCCTCTTGTGGCAATCTCCTTCTCCTATCTCCCTTCTTGATACTTCTTTCCACACCTGCTCCCAATCTACTGATTAGCCTGGTCTTTGTTCAGTCTCCTATTTATACACCTTCTGTTCAGTCACTGTTTGCTGGTTCCTCCTCGGTTCCTGGCTCCTCATGTGTGTTTTCCCTGATGTGTCCAAGATTTTGGTTCCGTTATTTATTTGCTTATTTGCCTCAGTTGCCACCTATTTGATTTATTAAAACTGCAAGATACACTTCAGCTTCAGTCTCTGCATTTGGGTCCCCCAAAACCTCCACCTAACCTGACGACTTTACTGATTAGTTATAAGTGACAGTAGAGGGATATTTAGTGACCCAAGACGTTTTACTTATGTATATAAATGACCGATTTGTTTGTATGACTCAATAAGTGACAAAGAACACTTGTTGATCCAATTCATGACATGGGGATTTTTTTTTTCTTCCGCAGCTGTTGGCAGAATGCATTACCATCATCATCGCCTGTAAACTCAAAGCTGAGCTGAACCCTCAAGTCCAGGCAACCTGGCAGAAGTTCCTCTCTGCTGTGGTGGAGGCTATGAGCAGTCAGTACAAATAAAACAGAATTAATTGAGCATGGAGGAAAATAAACCAATGAATAAAACGTATGTTCCTTAAAAGCCTGTGTTTTCTCTTCAACGTATGAGTTGCAAAACCGTGCAAGTGTGTAAGGAGTTTCTGTGTCTCTATATGACCCCTGGAGGCAATAAAGAATACTGCAACCCTGCAAGAAATACGTGTTGATTTTTTTATATATATATAATTACATCTAGATTAATAAGATCATTAACTGAATTTTTAACAGGATCCACAAGAAAATTAGTAAAAAAACGTCATCATTACCAACTGCTGTCATTCTAGTCCCATTATTTGAAGCAAGCATAAGCATTTTGGTTATGAAGTCTGCATGGGAAACTTAAGTTGGTGGGAGTAATGAAATTAAACCCCCCCGTCACCCCAAAAAATAAAAATAAAAAATACTGCACACTATAACACTATATCTTCTTTTATGAGGGATGTAGCTTAAAATACCTTAATAGTACTTTAAAGTACCTCAATTTTCTCAATTTACAGCAATCTCTGTGAAAAAACCATGAAAGTAAATCAAATGTTTTAAATGAAAGCAAAAAAATGTAGTAAATCTGTGAATAACGGCTATATGCACTGCACTTTTGGTAGGAAACACGATTTTAAGAAAATGTCAATGACAGCAAATAAAACACATTTAATAAAGCAAAGTAGTAGCTAGTTAAACGCCGATGTTTAACTTTATAAACAACAACGTTCTTCCGACTGCAGTGTTGTTTGCGATGACTCTTTCTGATTTATGTCGTTTATTTTCATTTTAATGGTCTAGATATTTTCATTTTAACCTACCAGTCGGAAAGGTATTTTTGACGTGCAAAAAAGATTACGTTTTAAGTCCACCAGAGGGCGCTAAAACACCATTGCAGAAACATGTTTTAGAATGAATTTAAGTTTAGTCATTTTGCTTTAAAAAGAGTTTATAATGAACTGCTACAATTTTTGAATAATTGAAAATAAATAAACAAATAATTTTCTTTACCTTGATTCTACTTGCTTAAAGGGGGACAATTCTAAAAAAAAAAAAAAGTGCTGAAAATATAGTTTAATTTGATTGGGTGATCATTTTTAAAGAAGGGAGAAAAAACATTAAAAATATGTAATGTAAATATGATAATACTAATTGTCAAAGTAGTTTAGAAATAAACTGAAATGTTTATAGATAATACATTTTGTGAGTATTTGGATCATCCAGCAATAGGGATTTGTCCCTAACAAAACAAGTCATAAAAATATTACCTGAGATTAATAGGTTGAGAATTCTGAGAAAAAATGCGTAATCAAAAACAAAAATGCATATCAAAACAAAACTGATGTACCTAATATCTTCTGGACGAATCACACAGCTTCAGTTAATGTTAATACATCTAGTGATGTACTCGGACCTTAATCTTCAAAGACACATAAAGACAGTAACAAAGTCAGCTTCTATCACCTAAAGAACATCTCCAGGATTTAGTCTAATATTTGTTTTATTTTGTTTTGAACATCTTTGGTAGAGTTAATAACGGTAACAGTGTCTTCACATGTCTGACTGTAAGGTCAATCAGCCAGTTGCAGTTGATCTAGGATGCTGCTGCCTCACCAAAACTAAGAAAGAGGAGCAAATCATCTGAATTGTAAAAGTCCTTAAGCTGGCTCCCATCTTACTGAAAATACATGAGAACTCTTCTGTTAATCTATATTTACATTACAGACTTGCTGTCACTGTATCAACCACACAGACCTCTTTGGTATTCTGGCAGTAAGTTACACTGCATACCAAGAACCAAACATGGAGAAGCTGCATTTAGTTCTTATTTTCCTCCAATTTGGAATAAATTCCCAGAAACTGTGCAACTGATGAAACCCTAAATTGCTTTAAATCAGGAATTAAAAACATTTTTGTTTAGAGGGACCTTTGACAGCGCTATCTAGATATCATTAGTTTTTCAGTCAAGCATTCCTTTAATCTTTCTACTTTCATTATTAATTTTTTCTCATTTTAATTATACATTTTAATACCTTTAATTAGTTGTGTTGCCTTTATGCCACTGTGATGCAATTTTCTTTTTTATGTACAGCACTTTGAATTATTGTCCTACTAAAATGGACAATATAAATAAACTTGCTGTCAGCAGTCAATAGGGCCTCACCAAACTTGGGTAAACCACTATCTGTCTCCTCTGTACAGAGCCGCCCCTTTAAAGCTAGATAAGCCAAGAAACACATTTTAAGGGCAACAACCTTTACAACATCAGAAAATTAAGTGCAATCCTCTGATAAGGAATGAATAAAAAAAAAAAAAGCTCTAGGAGTCAAATCAGTACCATGGTACTGTCCTTGATAGGAGACTAAAGATTTATCGCCAGTTAATTTAGGGCAGAATCACTTTATTACATCTTGCTATCTGCTTTTCTGTGTTTGGGTTTGAAATAAAATAATGATTATTGAAATTAGAGGTATCTTATGAAAAATTTTGATTTTATAAATACATGTTTTTGGTGCAGAACAATGCAATCAGTATCTATTTAAAGTCCTCAAATAATTAGAGACACTTAACTAATTGAGAATACTTTATACTGTTTTAAAAATAATTATATTATTTAAATTCCATATTTATGTTACAGTGAATCTAAAAGAAGTCATGTTTGTTTGTTTTCTGAGGCTTTAACTTAAAAGATTACCGCATGTGCTTTAGAGACACCATGTAAATTATGTTCATACCTTATCTCATCTAGACTGAAACACATCACTTGGAAGGCATCCAAACAGAGATATCTTGGAGTTGTCTCTGCCATGCCCATACCTCTTTTTGTGTAGTATAAAAACCCCCCACTACGTGTTCCTGATCGAGGCATTCAAACCTGAACACTCAACCAAGAAGATGAGTCTCAGCGCCAAGGACAAGGACGTAGTCAAGGCCTTCTGGGCTAAAGTGGCACCTAAGGCTGATGACATCGGCCAAGATGCTCTGTCCAGGTACAGATACCCTGATATATATGTATATAAAATTTTTTTTTTTTAAGTTTTATGAGCTCACATAAGAATTACAAGTCCTTCTTTCCGTTCAGGATGCTGGTGGTTTACCCACAGACCAAGACCTACTTCGCCCACTGGAAGGACCTGAGCCCTGGCTCTGCCCCAGTGAAGAAGCACGGAGCAACAGTGATGGGTGGAGTTGCTGATGCTGTGGGCAAAATCGATGACCTGACTGCAGGTCTCCTGAACCTCAGTGAGCTGCATGCCTTCACTCTCAGAGTGGATCCTGCCAACTTCAAGGTACAGTGGGTGACCAACACTTAGGGGCGTTTCTGTAAAAACATTCTGGGTGCAGTGGTGCTTTTTAGAATTAACTTTTCACTCTCCTCTGATACTAAAATGTGCAAGTTCTATGGGTAATTTTGCTACTTTGCTATCATGGGTGTGAAAGAGGAGAAAGTCCTTTCAAATGGGTACAATGATTCGGCACAATAACTTTAATAAAAACTATCTAAGTTATAGATTGAACCATTGCATTTCTATGCAACAATTCAACATGTATTGTAGCATTTTTAAATTCTCTGCTCATTTTGCATGTTTGCTTGTTTGCATGTTTGTTTGTTTGCTTGTTTGCATGTTTGCTTGTTTGCATGTTTCTTTCTTTCTTTCTTTCTTTCTTTCTTTCTTTCTTTCTTTCTTTCTTTCTTTCTTTCTTTCTTTCTTTCTTTCTTTCTTTCTTTCTTTCTTTCTTTCTTTCTTTCTTTCTTTCTTTCTTTCTTTCTTTCTTTCTTTCTTTCACAAAACAAAACTGTAATTCTTTCAATTGTTTTTTTTTTTTTTTTACAGATTCTGGCCCATAACATTCTTGTGGTCTTTGCTACCAAGTACCCCAACGACTTCACCCCTGAGGTCCATATGGCTGTGGATAAATTCTTGGCTGCTCTGGCCCGTGCCCTCGCCGAGAAATACCGATAAATTGCACAGTTGGAGAAGACAGTAGACAGCAGACAACTGCCTCCATGTCTGAATATGAATAAAAGACCAAATGCAGTAAAAGTGTCATTTTTGGGGCCTTTGTCTCAATTTGTGTGTCTGAGGCTACAGCTTTTCAGTTTGAGACTGATATTTTTAGAAGAGACAGAACCTGTTTCAAAGGAAGCTCATATCCACTTCCACCGATTGAGATAAGATTTTTTTGTACTTTTTTAGTAAATCAAAGAGAAATGGTTGCCTTATGTTGTACATATAGGGTATTGCAGGAAAGATCTAAAAAAATAAAAACAAAAATGGTAAAGTGACTTGCAATTTTATCTATCAGTCTACAATGTGTTTGTTCATTAAAGTTAACACAAGTTTTGTAATGTATGTTAGAGAAGAAACATGTCAGTAGGGATTAATCTAAAGTCTTTTTGAATTCTAGAGATCTCTCCGATGCTTCCTGCATCCAAAAGTCTCAATTTTATGGTGTTTTTGTTTTAATTTAGACTAAAGTTTACCTAGAGAAACCTTTACCAGGCACGTTAGAACAAGATCGTACTAAAACATTTTTCTGCACAAGTGTGTCAGGTTTACATGCATCTCAGGATTTCTGACCTGTGCCTGTCTTCTATATTGTTTATAACTAAAAGATTTAACTAAGGTGTTCGTATCGGTGTTATATGACCTTTATAAGCTGTTCTATTTACTTCTTTGCTACGTTCTGTTTTTATGTTATTCTCATAGTCTGAGTTCCAATATAGCAGGTTTTAATGAAGAAACAAAGTCTAAATCTTATATTCACAAGAAATTAGATCAGTGTTCTTTATTCAAGATGCATTTATTGATCCTCCATACACTCTATCAGTCTATCAGTCAGGCCAATATTCTACCTGCCAAACTACTAACAATTTTTTCTGATGGCTTAAGGAAATTTTTGTAACTATTGCTTATTTTTACGAAACGAAAACCTTTCACAAAATCAGCACAACATTGCAGTTCTCTTACAAAAGCTAATAAACCTTTCTTAACTCTGCAAATCTTCTTAAAAATTGTATTTTCGTATCAGACAGTTAACACAAACCATCATATTAATATGCAAAACAATGTACCAACTACACAATAATGGTATAAATTAAAAACATATCTGGCCTTTGCTTTCTCTGTTCACAAGGTAGGCTATGTCAGTTTGAGTTCACACTTTTGTCCTAGTTCTGTAAAAATACAACAAACACAATTTTTTTGTTTTTTTTTAGAGAATAAATCTTCAGTTGGATTCAAGAATGGACGGTATGGTAGGAGGTTGAGTGCAGTCTCCTCTTCCTCCACTTCCATGTCCTCTTCCTTAGCATCCTCTAATTCTTACTCTTCTTGCTCCCTCCATTGTATACTACACAGACAGTTAACCTCTCGCTTATTTACAGTGTTTAGGCTGATTGCAAATTGAACTAACTATCTAAATCAGTTTTAACATGTGACAGTGTGCCAGAAAGTTGGCAAAATAGGTTAAATATTAGCCCCATATGTGCATATAATTTTACTAGGAGTGTGTTGATCATTTGGAAATTGAGTTCAAAGCAATGAGTTGTGTTTACAGTTCTGCAAAGAGTGCTGTGCAGTGGATTGTACCCACAATTCTGAAAAGCGTGTTTTACAAAATTGCCAACTGATCGTAAAGCAGTGTTTGTGCTTAAGTTTTGCAAACTCAGTGAGTGGTTTTGCTATAAGTATGAATCATTTTAGAAATTGTGCTATAAAGATCACGGTTAGTTTTTAAGCATTCAGGAAATAACGACAGGAAGGACAATCATGTTATTAACTAGATAAATAGAGGATACACTATTTTCTCCCTCGCAAAGGTTCACATGAAGACTTTATGGAGCACAGTGCTGTCCATTGGCTCCTCATTGCAGAGAAGTATCCTTTTACCTTTGGCAAGGCAAGTTTATTTGTATAGCACAATTCAGTACATGGACAATAAAAAAAAAAAAAAAGTGCTTTACGTGAATTAGATAATAAATTAGAAGAAGATTAAAAGCAGAATGAAAGCAAATAAGGATAAAAAATATATGTAAAACAAAACAATTGTACCACAACCTTATAATGATACCTCAGTTGTCAGTTTAACTTCATCAGTGAGAGGCAGCTATGAACAAATGCATTTTTAACTTTAAGAACTCAGGCTTTCAGCACTTTTACAGTCTTGTGGGAGTTTGTTCCAGATAAGTGGAGCATAGGAACTCAAAGCTACAGTGTGTAATTTTTAGCGACATCTAGCGGTCAGACTGCAGCAACATGAACATCTCCCCCCCACCGCTTCTCCCCCCCAACAGTACGGCGAGCGTTACGGGACAAAATGTCTTCAACGACGTCCGCATCACCTACCTTCTCAAGTGATGAGGTTTGTTTACATAGATATTTTAACGGATAGTATTTCATTAGTCTGTGTAGGGTATAGATTTCAGTACCGTCTCAGTTCATCTCTCTCAACTTGCCGTATATACTTTCGAGCGTAATGGGCAATCTCGCAATCGCTAGTTTGTTGGCTCTGCGCTGCCGCAGCGCAAAGATGTCTGCCTCCATGTAATTATAAATAACGAATTCTAAGGCAACGCAAATATTAAGGTTAAGAGGCTGAGTTCGTAGATGATGATAAATAACATAGTTATGTATAATATATTACATTTCTGACTGTATATCCCTGTAGTTATTACACACTGTAGCTTTAATGCTGCTTCTTCACAAAAAACCTGATCAAATCACACTTTCTTGCAAGCCTTTTCCCCGAACCCTTTTTATTATTTTCATCAGCACGTAGATGTGAATACTATGTCACTGTATCCCTATGATTGTTTGATATTTCTTCCACTTCAAAAAAATTTCATCAGTTGTCACCATAACATCAGACTTCTTGGTGATGGTCTTGGAGTCCATTCCAGGCTTCAACATACTTATAGCGTCCCTTTCATTATGGTGTTGGAATGAAAATAATCGATCCAGTGGAAAGGTGTGCTTAATATACAACATTAGGAACTGGGGATCAACTTTACCGACCAACTGTCTGATCTGTAGGCTGCATGGGCAAAACATCTGCTTATTTCATTTATCAATACAAATTAGTGTTAAACTGGAAAGCAATGAAAATTATCTGGATTTTTGGTTAAATCACTACATGAAAATACTACAATCAGAGGTAATGTATTCTAAGTAATGGTTTAATTAATCATTCATAGCTCTCATTGCTGTTTGAAACAGAAACACACAGAAAAAAAAGCAGCTACCAAACAGTGTTTGCTCAGAGCAGAGGCGTAGCCAGAAATTTTTTATAAGGGTGGCCGATAGTGGTTAGGCACCAGAACCTCAGGGTCAATCTACACTGTTCCAACAGGAAAATTAATGAGCAAAACATTCATATTTTCTAAATAAAGACTAATTATACTTTCCTACATCCTTTGCTAACAAATAAGCGCATATATTTAAACATCCGTAATTTCTAGATGAAAGTTATAGTGAACAAAACTCAGTTTTGAGTTCTGTGGCGTGAATCTTTTCATTTGTCATTACTTACCTACTTGTATCAATAAACATTCCGCGTAAAATGGATATTTACAATCACTAATATCTACATAAATTTATTCTTTGATAAGTTTTTATCAAAATTGTTATTTATCTTTGATTTCACTGAAAACTCCTAGATGACTTGCAGAGACATATTTGTCTCTTTACCCCATTAAACACAAAATCTAGTTCTGAAAAAGAGCATGAATTCTGTACTTATCCTCTTTGATGTTAGTATATTGATGTGTATAATTAACCACGAAAAAATAAAATGTTTTGAGTATTCCACTTGAGAGTATTGCTGCTACCTCCGTCTGTACTATAGGGGGAAAAATGGTAGGGGTGGCCACAGGGGTGGCCAATGATTGGCTAAGGGTGGCCATGGCCACCCCTGGCCCCCCTTCTAGCTCCGCCCCGGGCTCAGAGTGGATAAATACTTAGTGGAGTAAATGGTATTTGCTGCTCTCTTTTCACTTTCAAAAGAACATTGATACAATTAATAGTCCTCCTGACCTAAATGCAGCAGTAAATATCCCAGTGATGATACCAGCACTTTTTTATGTTACAGTCTTTCTTCAGTATAACAGCATAAAATTGTTCCAAGCAACTCCTGTATAGTATGGAGTCTGAACACATGCAACAATCTTTTTTTTTACTATACTTTCATTTTTTTTATTCTACCACACAGCATGTTCATCATGATCAACATAATCTCTTTTTTGAAAGGAGCTGCAGCATTTCCTTTCCTCCCAATTTTTGTAGTTTAATGTAATAATATATTTTAGCTCACATCTTCTGTTTGTCAGAGTTCAGTCCTCTGCTTAGTTTTATTTTTTGTTTTATTGTCTTGCACTTTGTAGTTACTCTCTGTTGCCCCCTTGTGCCTGTTTTCTTTCTCATTGGCTTCCTTCTAGTTAGTTCAATTCATACCTGCTCCATATCAGCTCATTAGCCCATCCTTTGTCCTGCTCCCCATTTATAAACCACCTCTGCAGTTCCTCAATAATGGTTTCTTGTTGTTTTGTTGCTTCGTCTTCTCCTTGCTCCCCATGTGTGTTTTCTGGATTTTGTGGTTTTCAGTATTTTGGACTTTACTTCAGTTGCCTGTGGGATTCCCTAATTAAATCATCAAAACTCATCTCTGCCTCGTCATTTCTGCATTTGTGTCCTCAAAAACCTCCACCAAACCTTGACACTTATATTTAAACTAAGCCTTAAATGTATCCTTAGCTGATCTTTCAAAAAGAATAGCAAGGAGATCAGAGTACCAGAAAAGAAAAACTGACCAAGTAGAGAGGAAGTAGAACTTTTATGAACTTTAGTGAGATTGTCTCTAATTCAATGTTGGGTCTCTTCTCACCTTTAACTCAAGTAACTGTGTTGAATAAGCTTTGCATTACAGGAGTGATGACAGTAAGTAACCATCCATATTGCTCAGATTCTCCATATATTTGATTTCCAGATTGACCACTGAAAATGTTAATTAAACTTTGTTCAGCCTAAACTAGAACAGGTTGGACCTAATTAAT